AACAAAATCTTTATAACATCATTGGTAAAACATTTTCGGACATCTTCAGTACCTAATAAAGATAAGGGTTAATACTCCAATTATATCAGAAAATTTTAATTTGAACTAAAGGATGTTAGCTGTAAAAAGAAGCCAAACTCTCAAAAATGGAATGGGAAGCACTCGGGTATGGGGGGTTGTGAGGCCCCAACTAGTCGGAAAAAATATACTAGTCCCTGCATTAAGGGTGAAATAATTTAAGGACCATTATCAAAAGTTTTATTTTCAAATAAAAGTGGCATACCAAAAGGATCACATGAATTAATACCATATGGTTTCAAAGTTCTGAGTTTGTGTATAAGTAGATGTTCGTTAACTTCTAAATTACTAGGACTAGAATTCTTTAGGATAAAAACATTATAAGAAGCATCAAAATCAGGTCTATTGGAAAGGTTATGTGAGTCTATTAGGTGAGCTGCTAAACTGTAAGTGTCACTATCATCAGATAAAAAATCATCACTATGTTTTAAGGAAGGGTCTTTCAATAATTTATAATAGTTAGCTCTATGTTCGGTTACTCTTTCATGCAAAGTCCTAATGGTACGTCCAACATAGCAGAAAGGAGATGGACATAATTTACAAATGAATATTTTAAGTTCAAACAATTGAATGCCGAAGATGACAGAAATAAAAAATAGTTATGCGGAGGTTTTTAAGAAATTTGTGCAAAATTCGCGCCAGCACTGTTCTACGAAATTCGGTAAAAAAACCAAAATCGCCATTTTCAGGTGCCTTTTAACGGGTAATACTCGTAGTCGTAAGATATTAGTTTCAACCGTCGACGAGTCTAACTCGGCGCGCGTCCTGGTAGGTTATAAACCTACAAGGTGCCTTAAAAACCACGTTAAAATTGAGCTTATAATGAATTGTATAGGCATAAACTATTCTCACTGAAGCTTTCATTTAGAAAGACACTACACCGTGTCACCTATGACCTAGCAGAAGTCTATATCTAATCGGATCTAAACAGTAAGCACTGTATCGTGTATTAATCTACACTCTAAATCAAAATGCTCCTGCCAGACTGTATCTAATGCATTAACAATTAGGCGCAGTTTATGTCTCCGCCAAAAGCACACTCCCCAAATTGCACGCATTGCTGTAACTTCTTTCAAACTTCATGAATCGAGATAAATTATTTTAACGGGTGATACTCGTAAAATATCTGTTCCATATATTGGACCGTCGACGAGTCCAACTCGGCGCGCGTCCTGGTAGGTTGTAAACCTACAAAAATTATTTTGCAATGTATTCATTACCTGGGGACCCCAGGCTATTATGTTTCATGTTTACAAAGATTATAAAGATTCGGCGGAATTGGGAATGACAGGCTAGGCTGAGCGCCGCCCAGTATGCAGTAATGTATTCAGAGTTAATATATGCACTTATACAAATCACTTGAAATACTTTTGAAATAAAAAGGGAATAACAAACTCAAAAACGCTTGTAGGTTTACAACCTACCAGGACGTGCGCCGAGTTGGACTCGTCGACGGTCTAATCGGAACAAATATTTTACGAGTATCACCCGTTAAAAAACGCTATTGACGTATTTCTCCATAAAAAGCACAATTGCGTGAGAAGCTTTTGTCGAGGTGCCTCGAAAGTGATCTTAAACGATTCCCCGTTCAATTTTGGTCTTGGTACTGAGAACGCCATCTTAGTGCATAATCAAGGAATTTATAAACATATTTCATACATATCAAATTGGATGCTTTTGGCGGAGATATAACGTGCGCCTAACAATTAACAAATTAACAATTATGAATTAACAATTAACAAATTAACATAAAGGAGTCGTTCGATATATTACGTAATTAATATTTTAGCAATTTTTATCCCCCTCCCCCCTCCGTAATCAAGGCCCAATGGCCCCCCTCCTGACAACAATATTATTGTAGGTTTACAATCCACAATCGAATTCATGTTTTATTAGCCTGTCGAGTGACCAAATTGGTTTTTTGCCCATAATTCCCCAGGGAAGCGTTTTTACACTACGTCATGGGGGGTGATTCGGAATCAGCATCTGCAAAAATACATCGATTATACGGCGCGGCGAAGTCGTCCCAGTATCAACGATCCCATAAACCTCCCTCCCCCCCCCCCCCCCCCCCCGTAATCAACCTTACCTGGGGACCCCAGGCTATTATGTTCATAAACATTAAGAATAAAAGATTCCGAATAAAGATTTGGCGGAATGACAGGCTGAGCGCGGCCCAGTAAAATCAACCGTAAGCACGCTGCTTTTTTTCTCAAAATATAATATTATCCCGAGGCAAATGTTAATTGACGGTGTCTATCCTTTGCAGCTCGGCGAGGCCCAGTCTAGTGGTGCATTTTGCCGATATCAGATATAACGACAAACAATGTGGTTGCGAGAACAGAGAAGCACTATTAGATGCGCGGCGCAGCCCAGTAGTGCGTCGCACTACAAGGCAAGCTTGCTACGAAGTATCGCGCACCGGCTTAGTACATAAACAATGGACACATTGTTGGCAGTTGGCTTGATGTTGCTCTATCCAGAGCCCTTGCGCTTGCAGTAGCGCGTGCCCGCCTCACGATTTGTGAGACAAGCGCGCCCGCAGCGGCGCGAAAGCACATGGTTAGGTGTAGGCTTGATGCACGAATTGCATTTCATTCTTCGCGCGCGAAGAGCTCGCCTGTTATGCGTCGACGTACGTCGTACACGCTTCGATACTGGCGCCGCGCGACGGCGCTCATTCTGTCATTCTACCTTACGCGCAGCTTCACTCCTCCACAACAGCTCCATTCTCCAATAAATATGTTTATAAACATTAATATGGCATGTGCAGTAACACGCGCCTTGATTGACGATGTCAACTCTTCCAGATTTCACATAGCCATGTATATACGCGTACTGCGTGACGCCGCGCCTTCGGCCGCGCTACTGCAAGCGAGAGGGCTCTGGTTAGGGCAACTTCCAGATTGTTGCTCTGCGAATTAACAAAGCAATGATATTCTTTCGAAGTAAGAATGATAGCTTGCGCGGCGAAGCGGCGACGTCTTCCAACAAGTGCCCGTCTTAATTGACGATGTCAATTCATCCCAGCTCGGCGCGGCACAGTAGCGCATCTCGCCGATCTGTGAGAAGCCTCATTGAGTGCGCGGCGCGGCACAGTAACGCATCGCGCTACAAGTGCCCGTCGTGAGAGGAGTTGAAAGATAAAGATAGAGATAAATATAAAAATACATATAGAGATAGAGATTAGATAGAGAATGGAGAAAGGAGTACCATCCGTCAAAGCGCAGTAGTGGCCAGGTTGGGTTCACGTAATTTGCATTTGTGACAAAAAGGAAAATACATTTTTCCAGTTTTATCTCCGTGGGAAAAGCGAGCCAAACTGGGTAAGAATAAACAAAAACGTTTGACGTTAGTCATCGATTTTAATATTGGTAACGAAATTGTTTGAGTTAAATTAACGCTGTTAATATTTTTGAATGAAAAATTACTATTACGAAATTTATAATAGCTCATGTTAATATTGTGAGACACACATGCTTTCATTCTGTGAGGCTTTGTCAAACGATGCCCGACCCATCCATTTGTAGCTTGGCTGGCGGAAATGGTGCATGCGGATTGTGGAGCCGTAACAGTGCGAATTTTTTATCATTTTTCTTCTTAATTCACGATATCAACTCTTTTTGTAGATCCAGAGTTGTCTTTGAGTGAATTACGTTATGCTGGGTTGAGTTATATTGGAAAATAGAAAATGTCAAACAGTATATAATATACAATAAAGTAATTCAGATGTTGCAATTGGCAGAGCACAATAATATACAGAGGTAACGGAAATTGTCCACTGCTACCAATATTATATAATATGAAATATCAACAATCAGATATATACACATCTACTCCATCATAGGGGCAGGGATGAAGTTATAAGAGACTTCTGATAGTGGTGTCTCATATTTGCTGTCCATTTTTTTCCTCTGTACCCTCGTAGAGCTATGAGTGTGGTTCTTAACAAAGCGAATCTTATTCTTGTCCTTACATGTCTTACCACATCGCAATACCTCTCTCTTCTTTTCCTGGCGATGAGGTCTGCCACTCTATTTAGAAACCCGCTTGCATTCTTTGGACATGCCTCCAGTTGTGAGAAATACGGCTGGGGTGAAAGTGGCCTTCTCTACGTTCAACACTCTCTCCAAGTACTCATCCTTCTTCTCCATTTCGTTCTCTTTGTCTTCTTGAGTTATATTGTAAACTTGAGTCCCCATTTTGAGTAACAGACTGTTACTCAAAATGTAGTATTCGGTGCAGTGAAAGAACGGCAAAAACGCTCATATTTATATAAGAAATCCTAGCTCAATATAATTCTTTAGCGGGAAGCGCTAATAAACTTATTTTCTTTCATTTTGGTACAAATCTTACAGAGAACCTGAGCTACAATATGTGGACTGTCATCTTGTGTGGTCTGTCATTTTTGTGAGGCATCCACTCATAAGGCAACCCCACAATTGGCATAATAAAAGGTCCTGCTGACCGTAGTGGGCATCGTTTGAATGTGGGACAGTTTATTTCCCATTTTTTTACCAAATGGGTATGGGCATCGATGGGCACAGTGGCACAACAAAGGGCTCTAGAAACACTTTTAGTTTTTACCAGTGTATCCTCTAAAATCATCTAATTTGTTCAATTTTAGAGAGGGGCACCAAAAGGGGAGGAGGCGCCAACAGGTTCTAGGTTCTATGCAATGTATGAGTAAATCTGATTAAAAATCGTCTATGAAGTGTCATGATTGAAGTCTTTCAGTCTTGGTGTTTCTACACCACCTGAGAAATTACTTTAAAATTGATTTGAGACAAATTTCATGAAAATCCAGTAAATCACCTATTGACTACTACCTTAACTGAATTATAACTTCAAAAATTATTCTTTTTTTATAATTCAGATATCATTGTTGATTTTTACATTTTAAATATTTTACTTGATACATCAACTTCAGTAGCTCGATAGGGTTCCAAAAATGACTAACCATGGATGAAGAAGAAGCAGACGTTAACTTTGAGCTGTTGAGAAGTAATTCAACAGACTTAACAGCTATGTCAGATGATTTCTTGAGCATGCTCAACACAGATTGTAAGGCTTCAGACATCGATGAATTCAACTCTTGGTTTCAAGACAATATTACTCCAGATGCCAATATACCAACCTCTGATAGCATTCTTGACGCTTTGGGCACAGACGGTGACCTTGATCCAATGTCTCATAATACGGAGGCCTACAGTTTACAAAATGATCCCTCTTTGACCACTCATTTCTACAGTTCTTACAATGAAATGCAAGCTGTTCCAGCTTCCCAGAACTTCACTGCTCATCCAGACAGCAACTACATTGCTCCTTTTAATCTAGAAACTCCTGTCACATCTCCATATGACGAGGAATCTGGGATGACATATACAACATTGAATAACACTCCTAAAGTTGAAAAAGATCACCCTTCATATAACAAAAATATTGCAACGTCTGATTTGGGAACTGGGGAAGTTGATAATGATAATGACTTCTATATAAAGGAGACATACTATCAAGATGAGTCTGGAAACAGATTCATTGAGCAGGAATACATTAGGAAGAAAGACGTTTCTTACCCAAATGGTAAGTTACTATTTTTTATTGCTCATATTACTTCTTCATAAAAACCCATACTTCATAAAATGCTAAGGTCTTATGTACATGTTCATTGCTCATGAGTCGCTTTAGATGGCTTGAACTGAATCTTTAGATTTTGAGTTCTCTTTGGCTATAAAGCGATGTATAAATTTCTAGTTATTATTATTATTACTAATTGAGTCCATTGGTAACGATCATCTAGATAGAGTCCTCTGAAAATGACGCTTATGATTTTGTAACAAATACAAATTTTCGTGTTACATCTTTTACTCTTTAGGTCAGACCCAGCCGAGCAATCAAGGCTATATTGGTACCAAGAGACCTAGAGTTGCTCAACAGATTGTGGAGCCACAATATCGAAATGTTGCTAACAACAAGGTTTGTATTATGGAATGTTTTGAGTATTTTAATGAAAAGTCTAAAAGTAAATGCAACATTTTAATTTGTGTAATGTTAGTTTTCTAAGCATTGAAATGAATTTCAGGAGTACATGCCTCAGAAGACAGTTATCCGACCTATCCGCAATCAAACTCAAAGAATTCCACCTCATAAAGGTCAAACAAAGTCTAATCCTAACATGGGAAGATCAACGGTAAAAGTAACCCAGCTACCAATGCAGAGACAAATTCCAGTGAAACAGGAGATTAGAGTTGGACACACTTCTGTGAGACCTAGCAGTGAACATAGAAATCAGATCAACATGAACCAGAAGACCCGTATCTACCTCCCAAATGATAGAGGATATCAGAAAGTCACCACCCTCACACCACCTCACACTTCCCCACCTCAGCCTATGTACATTTCCCAACAAGGGAAAGTTACTTCTGCTGTTAGCTACCAGCCATCTGAACAGGAGATTGCGAGTAACGGGGAGCAGCAAAACATCACACCTAAGGACGAGAGATTATCTCCTAATAGCACAGATGTTATCACTGCTTGGGAACAGTCCATCAAGGATCCTTCTCCGGGGTCTATCACCTTCAGCAATGGAAGAGTGCAAATCCATAGAAATCAAGTTCAAGTAAAGTCTCCTCAAATGCAGGTCAAATCACCACAGGTTATGGTAAAGTCACCTCAAACACAAGTTAAGTCACCCCAGATGCTTGTCAATTCACCTCAGATGCACCAAGTGAAAAGTCCTCAGATGCACCAAGTGAAAAGTCCCCAGATGATGCATCAAGCTAAAAGTCCTCAGATGCACCAAGTGAAAAGTCCCCAGATGATGCATCAAGCTAAAAGTCCTCAGATGCACCAAGTGAAAAGTCCTCAGATGCACCAAGTGAAAAGTCCTCAGATGCAACAAACTAAAAGTCCCTCTATTCCACAAGTGAAGCCTACCCCAATGCCACAAGTGAAGGCTACTCCAATGCCACAAGTAAAGTCTGCTCAGATGCCAGTTAAATCACCCCCAGTGGCCGCCGTCACTAAAGTTAGCAAGTCCCCACAGAATGGTAGATTCAACGGCAATCGAGTAGAAGTTGCTAAGATACCTATGATAAAACAGGTAAATTATCATTATGTGTGACTCCATCTTTGCACATAATGTCGAAAATTTGGCCTTTAAAGAACGCATGATATCATATGAATTATTTTAAATATTCAGGTATCGTTTCTAGTAAGACCTAGCTTAGAATTTGTAAATTTGGTTAAATTATGCTCCAATCAGGTTAAAAATGAGATCAGTGCTAAGTCAAGTTGCAAAGTTTCAAACTCTGGCAACAAGAAAGTAAACCACATCTCCATTACGGGCAAACCTGGGCTCGGTGAGTTTTTACAAATTTATTGCCATCATCTGTTTATATGTATTTTGAAAAATAGAAGCTGTGATACTCAGATTAAATAATTATGATGATCCGAAAACATTTAAAATAGGGGGGAAATTAAGCGGCCAAATTTTGAATCGAGATAATATAGGTATATTAAAGTATATTAAAGTATATTAAAGTATATTAAAGTATATTAAAGTATATTAAAGTATATTAAAGTATATTAAAGTATATCCCCCCCCCCCCCCAAATATAATCGGAGGTATAAAATGTCGTGAAATCGAACATGGTCATTTAACCCTGTACATAACTGACGACTACTTTTCAGTAAATCTGAAGGCAGACGAGTCACCGTCAACTCTAAAAATAGTGAAACCAGTGAATTGTACCAAACCTATTATTAAGCAAACTAAAATCAGGTTAGTTAATTGTTTCACTTAAATGATTTTTAGTCGATCTAATCATTATCACAGTAAAATCAATGTAGATATACTTGCTGCATGCTCTGAAAACTCAAGGCATTTCACTCATAATATTTTTCACCCCTAATTTCACAGTGTAAAACAAGAGCACATGGAAGAAGAAGAAGAAGAAGAGCCAGAGGAGAAGCGTACCAATCACAACGCTGTAGAACGCAAATACCGCTACTCTATCAATGATAAAATAATGGAGCTTAAGGACATGCTCGTTCCTAGAGACACTAAGGTACATAAATGTTCACGAAGTTGAAGGAAATTTTGATTTGCAGAAAAAATATTGCTCGATTTACTAATATCTTGTTAAATTTGATCAAATTGCCGATATTGTTACCGTATAGTGACCGTAAAGTGGCCAAACCTAATCTCCTAATTCACCTAAGTCCTAAATTCATCCATCGAATTTTTTCAAGTATATTTTCAACTTGTTCTGCGAACACGTTTCTCAGCTCCAAGTTTTAACCCTCCCTATTTGCCAGATTCAGAAGTCAGGTGTATTGCGTAAAGCAATAGAACACATCAACGGCCTACAGAGCACAATCCAGAAATTGAAATACGACAACGTCCAGCTGAAGAAGAAGCAGGACATTCTGGAACAGAACAACAGTGTGCTGACCATGAAGTTAGCTGAGCAGGGTGCTACTGTGGTCTATCTCGAGAAAACTCCAGGTATGTGGCTGCTTCTTGGGGGGGGGGGGGGGGAGGGCGTTATGGGGGAGGGGCCGGGGCTCAGCTCTTCCTCTTTATGCAGATTATCAGTTCATTCCATCATGTTGGTGTGGAATTTTATTGACATTTGAAATTTATAAGATGAATCCTAAAAACGCCACATCTTAATGAGATCATATTTCATGTTGACAGTATGAACATTTTAAATTCATTTAAAAGTTTATTTTGATGTTGTTCACTCCTCAGATCTGATAGAGCCAGCAAGACCGTACAGCGACCTGGACTTTGTAAAGAAACAAAGTGATGATTCGGCTGATAGCCCTTCCAAGAGCCCTGGTTGCTATAGTAACCAACAAATGTACCAAAACTTACCAGACAGTCCTGAATCTTTGGTTAGTTTTAAATTAGATTATTGCAAAGTTTTATCTCTACTGTCTACTGATCGTGTTAAAAACACAGTTTTAGAGTCTACTAAAGTTTGAGTAGTAATTACTCTTATCACCAGCTCACAACCACAAATTTATCTAACAACTCATGTTTCTCAAAATGAGGTGACATAATCATCAAGTTGGACCATGTTTGCTCAGCAAAAGGCCTTACTGATTTGTAACAAGAATAGTTGTCTCCTGTCAGCACGAAATTGTATTATGTGGTACAGAATAAAAGGTTTAATTGATCATTTTGTGACCCAAATGTGATACTAAAGTGTCTCAGTACTCTCCCTCTCTCGCTCTCTCTCCCCTTGCATAACAGATTTGCTATATAATTAGGTAATTTGGCAGGGGACCTCAAGATTGCCTATCAAGTATATTACTATAAGATACGTGAGGGGCACTCAGAATTAAATTGCGGTGTGTTTGGACAGAGCGAGTTCACACTTTCGCACCGTTTTAACTACGAAAATGTAATGCGTGTTTTCGAATATAAGAATATAATAGGCGGGTTTATACTTTTGCATTTCAACTGCGATAGTGAAGTCCCGGCCGTAGGCACGGGTTACACTAGTATTTGTATAATATCGTCTTACAGGATACCATATTTCCACTATTGTTGTAACTGGAGGGGGTATAAATTTTATATAAAAACTTAAGAATTATTACTCTACTTGAGAGCAGTACTACTCATATAACTGAGTTAACAGTGTCGTGTATCCCAGCGTCAGAGTGACGGAGAAGGACGACATATCCGGAGTAATAGTGGTAGTAGTGGCGGGTACTCCAGCTCAGACGAGACACACGCGGCAAAGAAACCCAGATACATGACCAACGCTTCTCATCGTGAGTAATTGCAACTGCTACCTGAAATCAGACACCAAGTGTGCAGTTCTTAGTTTTATTTTAGATTTTAGAGCGTGTAGGAGACTTGTAGAGAGATAACTAATTAAATTACACAAAAACCCTAGTGTCCCCTACACAAATTATGCAAAAACCCTTGAGCCCTTGTATTGTGTCTCGTAACCAATGTTTCATTATACAGACGAACACAGCTGTTAAGATTAGTAACTTGATTATACCAGCAACAGCTTGTACACTATTTTACAATACCATAATACCTTGGCTATTGAGTGCTGCGCGCGATAATGCCCCAAACTTGTTAAGGGCTAGTGCGATGCGCGACGCACGAAGACGTGTAGAGAGATTCAAAGTATTATGATTTATAATGTACCAATATACCATACTTTATACTCATTAACTTATCATTTATATACTATAATATGTTAATTTGATTCTAATTCTAATAATGTACGAATGGTTCTAAATGATAGAATGTGTAATTTGATACACGCTGCTCATCAAGGCGACTCAAAAGGCGTTTGATAATAATAATATTATGTCGTCAATACACATCTACAATTATGAGCAGCGCTCAGTGTTCACGACTTCCTGATTTCAACTGGTTAACATATTCATACTCCCCAGGTGATCAGAGAACTATACCCATGCTTTGTATGGTCTTCATGTTTGGTCTGTTCATCCCAAGTTTCCTCCCTCAGCAATCCATTGCTTCCACTACTTTCGGGAGAAGTCTACTTTCTGTTTCCAAATCTCACGTACGTACAGAACTCAATTTCAATAATAATTTACCAGAATTATAGTTTGCAATAGCAAATTTCGTTTACCCATCGATAATACATAATATAACATTATATTTAAAGAATTGTGGAATAATACATAAAATTGTATAGGAAGCGAATCATGAAATTTAAAACAATTTTTTTCCTGCATAAGATTCGATATATATTTGTTTTCAGCAAATTCGTTTGATCAAACTTATAAAGTAACCCTACAGGACTACATTACACCTTTGCTACACATGGGAATGGTCCTGCTAGGATTTGTCATCACGACTACTTTGTCCTACCTCTTCTTCGTCATCAAGTCTAAAGTTGTCATCATCGACGAGGGGATCTTCAAGAAACATTTGGACAAAGCAAAACAAGCCATCAAAAACGTAAGTTTTCAAAACTACCCATCAAAAGTTTACATACATTTTCAGCTGAATTATTAACGAAAACAAAATATCAATTCCATCAAGTACTCTAATAAAATGAGATTCAGTGCGATTACATTAACTCATCTAAAGGAGTGGCACTAGGTCTCTCCATGTTAAACATTTGAGCCATGCTCCTAACTCTACTCCCAGCATCAGCTAACCTGTTTCTAGCTCCCTCTAACTCAGTTGACTGTCTGATTATCTGTGCTTTTAACCCTCGCAGTGTAGCCGGGTTTATCTTAGTTTTGCCCTGAAGGGCGTCCAGCAGAGCTTTGTTAAGGTCTTCTTTCAGTTTGTCTTTTTTGTCGCAGTTCTTGCCTTTAACTTGGATAACCACTCCACTTGTCTCGTCATCTGAGGAGATCCCATCGTCCCCAGACGAGATTGTATCGTCCAAATCTTCTTCCTTGATAGAAGGAAGCCTCTCAGATGGAAGCTTCTCAGAGATCGTCGTATTTTGGGATTTGTCAGATTTCTCGTCAGATGGCAGAGCTTTGTCATGATAGTCTGACAGTTCCGGTACCTCATTTCCATCATACTTCCAGGAGGCCGGGTCATCTTCTTGATTTGGCTTAGAGGTAGTTCTGGCAGGTACAGTAAGCATGGGGGTTTCAGTAACAGCAATAATGGGAGGAGAAGCCGGAGCTGGAGTGGCTTTAAGTGCAGGAGCCTTGCTCTTCTTTGTCTTCTTCAACTTCTTCATTTTAGGAAACTCCATTGTAATAATGGGAGACAGTGCCCTGTCTTCTGTCTGAACTGAGGTAGTCTCCACTCCTTTCTCCGCTGTCTTGGGCTCTGGATCAGTGCAAGTCCACGTGTCGAATGTTAGTACCTGAGAGGGTTGTGATTTTGGAACATTGTACATCTGTTCGGGTTCCGCCTTTTTGTTGAGAAGAATCTTAGGTTTCCTACTCTTTGAGGAATGTTTTGAAAGTGACTTGTCTGACTGACCTCCCATAGCTTCTATCAGGCTTCTAGAATGAGACTTTGTAACAGGACTACCTGTACTTGCAGACTTTAAACTGGATGGTTTAGTAAGATTCTCTAGTTTGGGAGGTCGGGAACCTGTCACCCACGTTACCGGTCCAGATTTTGAAGATTCTTTTGGAATTATCTTTCTGTCTTCATCCAAAGAAGGAAAACTTTTATCGTCAGACATGTTGGAAGTTCTATCCGATGTGTCCTCCGCATACTTGGTATTGATACTAGCGTCCACTTTCTGTGTGATGGGTATGATTGTGAGTCCAGAGTTAGCCAGAAGAGCGTTAAGGAGCGCAGTATTTGGTACGTAGTCCTCCATTCTGTCACCTGGCCGTACGAACAGTCTCAAGAAGTCTGGGATCTCTTCTGTTGTGTGTTTAGGATGGTCGTCGAATGGATCATTGACATTGATTGGTTTTTCAATGGCTGATGTCTGCTTTGAAAACTCTTTCGTTTTCAAGGATTTGTTCACCATGGAAGATTTTATTGAAGTCCTTGAAGAGGTTTTGGATGAGCTTTGTTTGCTTGAGGTTTCTTTGGTGGTCTTAAGTGAATCATTTAAAGGGACGTCGCTTGCCTTCACCGACTCGACATTAATAATGAGTTCTTCAACTGAGGGTTTACTTTCCAGATTTCCCGACATATCAAGCTTACGTTTACTTTTAGTTTCCTGTAAATCCTCACGAGGTCCCTCTAACAGCAGCGGCACACTCACCACAGCATCAGTGAAGCTGGGTGCACAAAGGTGGTCCTTAGTGATAACCTCCAATCCTGCATGTGCTATAGGCCAGTGTTCAGGATCACTGATGTGAAGACTGGTATCGGAGTCGGGGTAATCCCGGGTAACCATCCTCACCTCTCTGTCAGCACCTGGTGAACTGGGTGGGGAGCTCTGTGGTAAACTGAGTTGTGGACTCAGGTGTTCCTCTGTAAAACTAGACCGTGAAGTGTGGTAAGTGAGTTCAGAATCTGTCTCAGATACAGACTCACTTACCTTCTTATTGGTGTTCCTACTTCTAGGAGGAGTTTCCAGTATCGGAGTAAAGTCGTCCCACTCAGCTTCATCCTGGGGTACTTCTCCAGGGCTCACTTGGACGGTAGGATCGTTCCTAAGTCGCTCTATCCGCTTGTTTGCTCGGTTCACTGACCTCATCAGCTCTATAAACTCCAGGTCAACTTCCTCTCCTGTCTTGTCGTCTTCTTCTAATGCTTCAGAGATTATATTACTTGTTGAACTTGGCAGTTTACCTGAAACTTTCTCCTCAGAGTCACAGATATCCAGAACCTTGTGCGTCTCCACAGCTTCTTTCTTTATACCACTAAGAAGTCGTCCACTTTTTATATATCTACTCGATAACCTGGATGTATCATCTGAAGTGTCAATATCCAGTAACCTCCTTGTTTCTCCCGCCTCATGCTTGATACCACTCAGTAGCCGGTCCGCTGAGTTACTGGCTGGTGGTTGTGAATTATCAGACAGCATCCTTGATACATTGTACATGTTGTGTCTGTCCGGGTGGTGAGAGGAAGTGGAGTCAAGAGGGGGCTGGTGAGAGGAATCAGAGTAAGAGGACTCAGGTTCCACCATTCTCGTCAGGGAATTCATATCCTGGTTTATCTTGTTGTAGATATCTATCACATCCTTTTTGGAGCGTTTTAGAGGGACTGGAAGTTGTGGAAGCAGAGCTAGGTTTCTGTATACTTGTTCTTGATCTACAGTTAGATAACCATTATCGTCCAGACCGTACTCTCCGCAAAACGACAGATCGCATGATACTAAACTGTTGTCATCTGATTCCAGATGCTGAACTCTGTAATTTCGCCTTGGTTCATCTATGAAATCTCCACTGGTAGTACCGCTGTATGAGATATGAGGAACGGATATAATTTGTTCACCACTGCTAGGTGAGGGAGTTGGTGTTGGTGTTTTACACTGACTGATATTACCGACTATAGTATAGTTTACCGGAATATACCCATACTCCAAAGAAGTGGATACAGAACCCTCACTATCACTCTCACTCTCTACCTCACTGACCATGTCGTGTGTTTCCTCCGTTCCTGAGTAGTTGTACGACTCCGTGCTCTCTTCAAATATCTTGTCTGTGTCCAGGTGCTCGTGGGAATCATATGTTTGCCTCCCTCTACCCTGATCCTCCCAGCCTTCACCTGCATCCCTCATACTGTCGTCACGTGATCCCGTGTCACATTGTGATCTCTCATCACGTGACACCATCCCCTCTTCACATGACTCCGTCTCACATGACCCCACTAATCTGGAGTCCTCTACACTACTTGTCCCACACATATCCTCACTGCTGTAGTCTACAGACATGACAGCAGCCGGTTCGTTCTGCGCTCCCGAGTCACGTGATCCCGCCTCACTGCTCAGATGATGTGATCTGGTGTTACTGATACTGTTTGAGAGGTGTTCTATGAGCTTAGAGAGTTGCTCACTGTCGTCGCTCAGCGGTATATCCTGATCTGTCTCTACTGTCTCTTCCACCAGGATACTCTTCAGACTCCGCACGTTCCTGCAAATAGGAAGAGTATCGGATACTGAGTACTGCACCAAATAGCAGAGTATCGGATACTGACACAACATAAATACAAATTAGGCGACTAATCAGATAATGATTGTATACGTTAATGAAATTTACAAATTACAAAAGGTATTCTTCATTCTTCATTCTTGAAATATACATAACGACTCTGAAGAAGACACATCAAATGTATCTTACTTAAAGAGTTGATCCACCATCCGCTCTAGACTGTCGTCCTCACTAAGTGACACAGGTGATCTGCTGCTGTCTGCTCTCGATAAAACTCGGTCTGTGTGAGGACTGTGGTTACACTCGAATCATCTCGAAGAAACTTAAAACATGTCGACTGACCATGTAACTAATTCTAAAACAATTTCTCTCGGATTAAGAATCGTAGAATCAGAATTACCCTTGTTGACATTAAGTTCCAAGTTGGATAGTGCTAGAGTTATGTTCTCCATTATTGAATTTGTGTTGTCACTGTTCAGTAACTTTTGCTCTTTCTTCCCCTGCTGAACAAATCTTAATCAAGATATGATTTAAAAACGAATGCTTACGAGTACAGTGGAATGACCAACATTTTAATGTATTCTAAGCTATTGTAATAAGCAATTGAAAATAATGTAGATTGTAAAATCCCTTCCAAAAAATCTCTAAAATCTATTTATATCTATACTATATTTTAAACTGGAGGAAATCTCCCCGACAACTGCATAAAAACACAAAAAAATGACCGAAAAGCGACTTTTTGCATGAACCAATTTCAGCTCGAATGAAGTTGAAAAGTAGGTTTTCTTTTTTGTTGTGAGTAAAATATACGTTAGAATAATAGCGCAATTTTAGTTAACTTTAAACTTTTACTGCGTTGTCACTTCTCGAAATTATGCCGTTTTGCCCAGCGCGGTGGGTTTTTAGTATTACATATTATTATGTAACGGAACAGTGATGTAATCATGCGCATGCCAACTATCGAGTCTATTAATAAAGATGAATAAAGATAACGATGAAGACTATTAATAACCGATGACCTTATTACATAGTGCTACACTATTCAGTGAGATCATAATCATCGGTAGAATGTTTTTAAAATGCCCTAAAGACATTTTATTTCCACTTAGCTTCTGATAATATTCTTAATATTTGTCTATAATGTCTGAACTGATATGAAAGTGCATAATTTTGGTAATTTTATACCAATATTTGTCCATAAATTCTGAACTAATAAAGAAGTGGGAGAAGTGCATAATCTAAAATCTTGATATTTCCACACTAAGTCTCGCTTGAATGACTTAAATGTACATCTTTGTTGGGTAAATTTTAATGTCGAAGCGTGTAATAAATGTTAGAATTTATTTATTATTTGTTTATTATATACACAATTGTCACATCAGAATCACCTGATACGGACAATTTATAAAGTCTGCACAATTTTATAATGCCATATAAATTACACCTTTAATACCTGTATAGATTTCACTTCAGATATGATAGAAGCAAGGTCATCGTCTACTCTGTCCAGTTTATCTGAAGTATCCACTCCACTATCTATAGTGGTGTCCTGACACGACCTGATATTATCTGAAACACATTTTTATTGCTATTTATACCCGAAATGTGGATAATACCGTCTGCCTTTTTTCAGTTCTTAACAGATATGCATATATCAGTTGTTTGGCCTTGTGGAATGTGTGATATTAGAACTTGATAGTCTCATATTTATGTAGTATTATAGCTTTATATATATATACTGATATATTATGTAGTATTATAACTTTATATCCTGATATATTATGTACATAGTATTATAACTGTATATTATGTAGTATTATGACAGCCAGTTGTAGAACCGACCACACTAGGGAGGCGGCAGCTTGTATACAAGATGCATGTTATAACTGATAGGTTCCACCTCCCACTGAGTTTTTATCTAATAATGAGATGACCGCACTGGAATAACCCACAGTTTAGAAGTCGTACGATCAGAGTGTTCTATATATAGGTTGCTAAAGTGATTACCTTGAACTCCATGAAGTTGGGTGACCACACTTGCAAGAATACCAGCAACAGTACTGTCCATTACAACTTCACCTCTCATTTCAACCTCCATATCTCTTATCTTAACAACTGTGTACCTTATTCACCCTCTGTGCTCATGATGCTTTGCTGACCGGGTAAATTGTGTTATCTCAAAACTGACCAGCGCCATTCTCATCTCATAATTTATCACAACACTGTTCGGTCGTGCCGCACAACCGAACACTATATCATACATGTGAACTGTGAAGATGTGGTAGTGCAACTGCCGGGCCTGTTTAAAGACCGTGATATAAGCTGATAAGTTGGCTCGAAACAAAGCACAGTATGGTGAATTTCTTATAATCAAGTTTTATTTAAAATTCGATTATTAATCAAGTCATGCAAAATTAACATCAGGCCAAAAACCTCACAGCACCCTACATTTTGCAAGTTTAAAATATATATGACCAGACAAGGATACACATTGAGACACAACTAGATTACACTAGGATACACAGTGAGATACAACTAGGATACACGTATTACACGTATGTCAGTACACAGTGAGATACATATCTGAACTTCCTTAACTTCCCTGATACATCAAACAGAGAAAATACAAGAGAACGTTACAAGACAAAATGTGACAAAATGTGTGCAGGAAATCACAAGGGTTTACTTGTTAGGTTTATACTGTATTTGTAACGCACTTTATTGCTTGTACATTGTATATTGTATATATAGAGCCAGTCTAAAAGATAAGACCCTAACTCCTAGTTGGAGTGCAGTGTAGTCCCTACTAAGTATAGACTATTTGTCTTAGGTGAGAAACCAGACCAATGGTCAACTGCCAACATCATACCAATTCCAAAGAAGGGCGACCTTAGCGAACCAATGAACTATCGGGGAATAAGCTTGTCATCCCTAGTTGCCAAGTCTCTAAACAAGATGGTTCTAAACCGGTTGAAGCCAGAAATCGAGACAATTCTGCGTAGAAACCAGAATGGATTCAGACCAGGAAGGTCAACAACTCAACAGATATTGGTACTGAGACGTCTTATAGAGGGTGTCAAGAGTCGGAAACTGCCAGCTGTTCTGACATTTATAGACTTTAAGAAAGCATTCGACAGTGTACATCGTGGGAAAATGCTAAAGATTCTAGAAGCTTACGGCATTCCAGTCAAAATCGTGCAGCTTATACGGCTCATGTACGAGAAGACAATGGCCAAAGTCCTAACTCCAGACGGAGAAACTGAATTGTTCGAGATACTTGCAGGTGTGTTACAGGGTGATACCTTAGCACCTTACCTCTTTGCAATAGTCATCGACTACTGTATGAGGCAAGCCATAGGCGATGATGCGGAGCGACTTGGACTCACCCTCGAACGTAGAAAAAGCAGAAGAGTGGGGCCCAAGATCATCACCGATGTGGACTTTGCAGATGATATAGCACTTATATCTGAGGACATGGACAAGGCTAACGAGTTCCTGCTCAGAGTAGAATCGGCGGCAGCAAGCGTGGGACTACACATAAACGAAGGCAAGACCAAGGTCATGACACTGAATATGGAGGATCGATCTAGCGACCTACAAAGTCGATCCGGGGAAGCCATAGAAAATGTAGATGATTTCATCTACTTAGGCTCCTGGATTGAGAGCACAGATAGGGAGATAAGGGTTAGAAAGGGAACAGCGTGGGGTGCCCTACATAGACTGAAGGATATCTGGAAATCCAAACTCTCAAAGAGCCTAAAGATTAGATTGTTCATAGCGGCTTGTGAATCAGTACTGCTCTACGGATCAGAAACCTGGACACTGACAAAGGCTCAAGAGAAAAGTTTGGACGGGACATACACAAAGATGTTGCGTATGGTGCTGGGTATCTCATGGAAGGACAAGGTCAGCAATATAACTTTGTATGGTAGCCTCCCAAGGCTGTCAAACAAGTTACGAAGCAGGAGATTAAAAATGGCGGGACACTGCATCCGACATCCTGAGCTACTTGCCAGTGATTTAGTCTTATGGGAACCTACGCACGGTAGAGCACAGCAAGGCCGACCAAGACAAAGCTACTTGTCTATGTTACTGAAGGAAGTTGGGACAAACTCTAAAGAGGAACTGCGAACCCTGATGCGGGACAGGGATATATGGAGGGGGTTTTCTGGCGTAGATCGGACTTAGCTCCGACATAGTAGTAGTAGTAGTAGTAGTGCTTCTTAACAGTTAGCCTGGTTGTTGCGTCCATGACCCGTTCTTCACATTCGCAAAGCCAGAATATCCTGTTCATTCGAGTCAGTATACTGGTTGCTGAAACTTGGCTTGTACCTCGAACACTCAATCTCTGGGTTCCAATATTGGTACCACGGTGCCTCAAACAAAGTTAATACCTAAACTATGGGCTTCTCGTTCAGAAGACTTATTCGTTGTTGAAAAGGCTATCTGATCGGTTACACTGAATAGATAGTCAGTTTAAAAAGTAGTTCTAATTTCGAAAACAGCTTTCCGTGCGTGGTATAATTATCATGGTTATGTCCCAAGAGAACAAGCAATTATTATGAGTGTTTTATATTATGGACCTCATCAAAAAATGGTCTTGGCATCAGCCCAGTTATTAGTGACGAAGGAAAAGTGTTAAATGTAGAATATCCAGTATGTCCTGATTAAGTAGGTAGACTGAATGTTAAAGTTGAGACGACACATTTGATACCTCACTGAGATCAGTGTAATGATACAGGGTGGGCCAAAAGTCAGTGTGCAAACGTTGGGTCTTATACCTCCGCCGTGTTTTATATTTGAGAGCTGTTGCTTTGCAGATGGCATACTGTACTTACTGGTTCGAGGATTCCGTCGTCAAAATTTGAAAATTCGAATATTTTAGACCACGCCCATTCAATATTAAAACACCTATATTGTTTTCTCTGAACATGCTGAACGCCTAATTTTTTCAGAGACGGTAGATTATCAAATGTTGCATATGATCTGAAAACATGAGGCAAAACGGATTAGAAATGACGAAGTTATCAAGCATTTTGTGTATCTCGTTAACAAAATTGACTGGGTGATTATGTGACACCGTGACACGACACCTTAATTGGGCACCCTTAACAATTCCCATAATGTTTAACGGGGTAGTTAACGGGGTCACCTAATCACGTGATTAGGTAAACCAATCACCTGATCACACGTAATGAATAAACTCGTTATGCTTCGTATCTCGGTCATCTGAGAAGCTACAGTTCTAATTCTTTCAGGACAAACGTAATTCGAATGGCCAAACACAATTCAATAACATTTAGCTTGATCCGACTTAACTATCCAAACTATCAAATAAATGTGAAAATGAACCTCCATTTGAAAAAAATGAACGCGAATATTTTTCGAGTTGACAAATTCCTCGAACCAGTGGTGGTACTAAGTCATACCAGAAGGAAGTATTTCAATTGGGCACTCAGTGACTGAGCTATTAAGGCCAACGTTTGCACACTGACTTTTGGCCCACCCTGTATAATCACATAACTTAAATATACATTACTTAACCCTGAATAACTTTAATAATTAAAAATTAATCATCTTAATTACCGAGATAATATCACACAGGGCGAAGAAACGACAGCACAAACGGACCTGGAACAAGTTTTGTGTAATGTGGGTGTAAGAGTGTACCACACAAAGATGTCATACTACATGATGCTAGTAGAGTACACACTCTCTATCTTACCTCATAACAGAGTCGTACACTGGCTGTGTTGCAACAACAGCAATGTTCTGAGTGACATGCTGCTTCATCTTGCTCAAATGCAGGCTTCCAACAGAGGTTTGTTATATGTTTTCAGGGCTCTCTCTCTCTCTCTCTCTCTCTCTCTCTCTCTCTCTCTCTCTCTCTCTCTCTCTCTCTCTCTCTCTCTCTCTCTCTCTCTCTCTCTCTCTCTCTCTCTCTCTCTCTCTCTCTCTCTCTCTCTCTGTCTCTCTCTCTCTCTCTCTCTCTCTCTCTCTCTCTCTCTCTCTCTCTCTCTCTCTCTCTCTCTCTCTCTCTCTCTCTCTCTCTCTCTCTCTCTCTCTCTGTCTGTCTCTCTCTCTCTCTCTCTCTCTCTCTCTCTCTCTCTCTCTCTCTCTCTCTCTCTCTCTCTCTCTCTCTCTCTCTCTCTCTCTCTCTCTCTCTCTCTCTCTCTCTCTCTCTCTCTCTCTCTCTCTCTCTCTCTCTCTCTCTCGTGTCTCTAATCCTTGTAGAATAAGCACTATATTACCTCATTTTCCTGTAATAACTGCTAGAAAAACTGCTAATTATGCTCCATTGCATTCAGATAATTAATTATCTCCGCGTGTACACAGTACACTTCTTAAAACTTTCACAGCTGTATAATATCTGTTACAAATGGTGTATTTTTAGCCAAGCGTTACGCAGAATGGACGAAGCTTTGCTACGCTCTACAAGCATCACGATACAATATCACATCTACTAATGTGTACATCACACTTTCACTTATTGTGCGAAACTCTTTGGCCAAGGTAAGTTCAATAAGATCATTGATAATTGAATAATTGTATTCTTTTGTTGTTTTGTTTTGGTTTTCAGCTTTACTTCGTTTTCATGATAATTTATACTCATTTTGGCATGTTATCAGGCACATTTCTATCGAAGAAGTAACAGAAGAGATGACAGATGGGTTTCACGTGCCAAAGAATTCATTTTCTCAAAGATATTGGAGGAAATATCACTAGGTAAAACAAAAGCCCTCTCAAAAGTTGAGACTTTTTGTATTGCGCGAAATAAGTTTAAATTAGATTCCAGCGCAAAAAACGCGCAATGTTTGCGCGCGCAGATCAGAATGAGGCGACTTTCCGAGGCAATGTGGCATGCGTATCGCTGCACTGTTACGTCATTTAATGTCGTGTACAGCTGTGTATAGCAGTAAGCAGTCATGGAACGTATTCATGTTTCATAGTATATGCCAGGAAGTCAAAGTTAAACTAACTCTTAAAAGTGTGAAATTCGCTGATTGCGATTTATTGTTGGAGTTAGCCTTCCTAGCAGCTTACTTAAAAACCCTACAATCGCCTGATATTGCCTGATATTGTTGCAATCTTACACTCATCCTGGATGGTTGTAGATTGATTCAACATCACTGGTCACACTAAGTCGGAACTCCATATCTTCCTCTAAATTAAGAAGGCTCGTTTACTCAACTTCATTAGTCAGTGTATGCATCCAATTTTAAGATCTGGACTACGGGCATGCAGCAATTAGTCTGCAGTAATGAGCCATTTCTTATGAGGATCAGGCATCTCATAATTTAACGTTGTATAATTGTGTTGGCAAATGCATTTAAACAAAGCTTATACAGACTTGTGTTTAGTCAGAATACACAAAACGGAGCATGTGGACTCACTTCTCGACCACCAACCATTGCATTGGCAAGAAAAATAATATATTAAAGCAGATATAACTGACTGATTTTGCTAAACAATAAACCAGTGCCACTTTTATGAGAGAAAAAAATCCTACAAGTTTTTTCTCGTACAGTACCATAGTCTGTGTAATTCTATATTATTTAGGTATATCTCCAGTGCATGAACAATGTACGTTCCACTACAAGCCTATAAAATGGGACAGATATTATATTCATGTTAACATAAATCAGTCCGATAAAGCCTGCTTCTCTGACTTTTACTACTGTCACGGTGATTGGCGAACCAAACTGTTAGTTGGGGAACAAAATGCTGTCAGTCAAATCTCTATGCAATCATAGAACTCATTCACTTCATGGAAAGATCAGTATTAAGATTCATTATCTCTACTTTATATATGGTCACTGGCTAGACTAGGTGCATTTTTATTTTTGTTAGTGAATAAATCCATGAGTTATCTTACTCGTTACTGAAGACTGAAGAGAATGATACTCCGAAATAACCAATAAATATTTCAATTGATAACGAGAGTAATAATACAATACAACTTACTGTATTGTTAAAAATTCAACACAAATTCTATTCAATTTGGTTTCAAATAATTATTTAAAAAACTTTAAAATTGAGAAATGAAGGCTATGCGCAGCTTCGTAGTCACAATTGTTATCAATATTATTCTAACGTACATTTATGTAACGAAACAATTTAAAATTAAGTGATTGGAACTAGATTATATTTTGATAGTCCATATTATTTTGTACAATAGCGGAACCTGGGCCAAATAAAACTTTTGCAAAAGGTAAACATCTTTAAAAATCTACACTGAAGTCGCCATTGAGAACTCCTCAATATCATTAAACTTATCGTTGTAATTTAATTTTTGATACACAGGTTTTTCATCAGCGTCTTTGCGCAGTTCAATACAGTCGGACAATCGGAGGGAAACTGTGTTATAGTGATGACACTCGTTTCTAATGCGGTGCAGGGTCGAGTAATGTCCGTCGTAACAGTTGGGAGGCGCGGTCGCACTCCCGGTCACGCGCTGACTCATCCTGCACTGACTTGCGGGGTGACCACACGCACCACTTAGCACTTTCCTCTGCTCTCCTAACACACGGTGGAGGCGCTTGTGAAGTCGTCTGGAGACGTGGAGGAACACGATGGTCATGATGGTGGACACGAAAAAGAGGAACGCTAAAACGTAAACTAGGATGAGGATGATGTGACTGTTCCCTTTTGAAGTTAGCAGCAGTTCTGGAGCATTTGTAACGGTCTCGTTTAGAGCTTTTGGGGTGAAACCAAGAATGTCCTTTCTAGTGGTGCTGAACGAATTGTTACTACTGATGCGGCACTCACACGCGCACTCTATCTGAGTCATGCTCATTGTTTGAACAAACTTGGGGATGGAGATAAAATTTGCACCAGTAGCCATGGACACTACATCACCCTCTCCAGTTATGATAGACATGTTACAGACGAGCAAAGTAGATCTGGGTGATTCTACATAACACGCAGAGACGGTGTCGTTTTCAAATGTGAAGGCGACTCTGGGTGTTCTGATGAGCATTGTTTCCTGTCTCGCGCACTCATCAGTCGGCTCCTCTTCGTAAACGTCAAACAATAAGTTGGGGACGAACTTGAAGGAAATGGTAGTGTTGGAGTCATTCACCAACAGATTGTCTGTAGTCATCATGAAGCCCTGGCAGGGGGTCTCATCTCCGTACCACACAGAAACCCGCTCACTCTCCATAACCAACACAGAAAACCCCAAACATTCCAACTCTACTCTCTGCTCCAAGTCTATACTCTTAGCTCGGGTTGCCAGGACGCCGTTCTTGAACATGACGGGATTTTGTCCGCTCTTGCAGTTCCAGGGCTGGGTGTTGTTGATGGGCTCTGTTAGCTCGAACAGTGCACTAGTTTGGCTGAGCGATGTTATATTGTCCGCTCTAAGCACGATAAAGTGGTGTGACTGAGCAAAAGACAATGCGGGGAGCAATGCTAAAAACAGTGATGACGTCACACCACGTGACATGACGTCACACCACGTGACAGGTAGAAACACCAGAGCGAGATAGTGGTGTGACTGGGCGAGTATAACTGGAAGGAGAAGCAAGGAAAGGTATAACATCTGGTAAACAGGTGCTGCAGTAGGGTTTATATCAGACAGGCACTGGGGTAGTAACAGCCAAATTGATCTCAATAAACATTGGCAATGTATTCCTATATACTGAGTTCTGTACCGGCCACAACACAGCTGGTAGAGAGAGCGGTGGGGTTGCTGGCGATCTGGCAGGGTATAATGGGGGACTGGGCGATACTGTTGACACTAATGAGGCTTTGTGTGAGGTGCAGATTACGTAATTAGCACGGCCTGCTGGTCCTCAACAAGTGCTAGTAGCAGTGATGACGTCACACAACAAGTGCTAGTAGCAGTGATGACGTCACACAACAGGAGCGCTCTTCTTGTATTTAGTACTGACAGCTCCGCCGTACACTAGATACCCTTTCAGACTTGCTAAAACATACCTGTAACAAACACATGTTAAAATCTCTCGAGATAAAGCATTTGTGGTAACAAATACTCGTTAAAATCATTCTAGAGATATCTATTGTCACAAACATAATGGAGTAACTGTAGGGATATATATCATAAAGAAACGCGAGGGAAAGGCCGAATAACTCCAATGTCAAGCCGTGGAGTAGTGTGGAGTGTGGAGTACTGGACTAGCGGGCTGTGAGGAGGGACTGTTTACAGGGCCTCATTATCTCTCAGAGTCTTCTCTCTTACTCGCTCTCTCTCTAGCTGGTGTTCTGCCATCTGGTGAGTTGCTCTAAATGCTCTCCTCTCAGCTCTACCACGCAAGGGAGCCAGTCTCATTATGCCTTTTTAGAATGTGGTGGTTACTTAAAGTGGCTTGTTAACCCTAATTAGAAACTGCTGGAGTGCGAAATTCGGGGGTTATTAGGGTAAAAACCTGTCAGGTTATTGGGCCACGGAAAGCGGGATCAGATTCCAAGGTTTTCAGCACCTGGATATAATTTCGTTATCATCTCATGTAGGATGATATTATAGTCGAGGGTAAATTGGAAAATACATTATAGTTAAGCAGACAAATGACACAGTTGTCCCAAATTATTACGAAAGAAAACACGGCAAAAAATCTCACAGACTTGGAGGATAATATAAAGTCAGGGATTATTTCCCTTCGACCATCAAGAAACACAGGACGAATAGCAAAATAGCAAAACTTGTTGTTACTGCGACCATATTCTCAGTCTCTGTTTTTTAAATAAGAGAAATTTCAAACTCGAAAGATTCCAAATGAATTGGGGGATTATATAATATCATGAATAACGGAAGTCTATGCTAACGATAGTGATAGAAGATTAACTATAAATATAGAACTAGTACACCAACACTGTGTAGTATGTATCGAGTGTGACATAAAGAAAACAACATGGAGAGTGTTCATATCCGTGATTCCGTGTACTAACAAATACTAATCCACCCTGCTATTAACATGAAGGTGGTGTAGAAAGTTCCAATATTAATATTGGAGGATGTAGCGAACAGTCCAATAAAGCTCCAGTCCAATAAAGCTGACTTTATAATCGAACCATTTGTTATATAGCTCTCCCTACATTGCAAGAGCGAAGAGTGACTCTCAATGTACCATAATTGAAATGAAAAAGTGCAACAATCTGAATCACAACGTAAATGATAGAGCACTGTTGTCCTTATCGCCGCTAAAAGAGGCAATCTTCAAATCTATTTCAGCTAGAAGTTTTTTTCTAAAGAACACTGCCACAAAAAATGTTCGATAACATGTTATCGCTATTAAAGTGCATTTCTGAAGTTTGTAATAAGAGCGCACCGTTATTATGCTGGCCTGCGTTGCTTTACGCGTTGTAACGTCACTCTTCGCGAGGTCACGAAAGAGTGCGCATTACAATTTTTAAATCGGGAAAATGCTCCTTATATTCCAACGTAATAGAAATGCTATACGCCAAATAGGCCGACACAAAACAAGCTAAATGTGTGTTTGCAGGTGAGAGCGTAAGCAGCACTTTGGAACTGCAACACGCCCAAGACCAGGTTACCAGAGCTGCTCAAGTGCTGGTGTTATCCAGCGAGGGTACGGTGGAGAGAAAACAAGCAGCGGATACTCTTCTCAAGAGCGTGCTTCCTTCTCTAGCCTTCCTTAGACGAGAGGTGAGACAAGATCACGTGGTTTGATATGACATCACGTGACATGACGTCACTTATCGTGGTATGACGTCATATCACGTGACATCATACCACGTGACATGACATCATACGAAGTGTCATGACAACCTTAAGTTACAAAACAAGCCGGTAAGAAACTCAGTGTTACCAAGCTGGTGCGGGAGGAGGTTATTAAACCTAACACACAACGAGTACACTGACCAACATTTGACAAAGAGATAATTGGTAAACTCCCCCCTCTGCTTCATAAAGTAGCCACAGTTCGTAACTTTACTCTGTGTAATTTAGCCGATGTCATTATCCATTTGTTAACTGTTACACAATGGACTTGTGCCTGGGAATGTACTTCACAGGGGAATCTGCCCTCCAAAGTTTTCATAATGGTCTCTTCAGTTTACTGCGGGTTATTTGACATTGGTAGCATCCGTTTACAAATTTTCCGACAATTTAAATAAGTTGAAATTTAGTTTGAAACTGACGATCTTTCAGTTTCCGGCTCAAGTAAAAGAACTGCATTGGTTTATTAGTGTACTGGAAGCGTACCAAACTCCGGAAGAGGAAATCACATCCATCAAGTTCAACGATCTCAGGTATTTAGTGTTTCAGTGTAGCATCAAGTAAGGGTCATATTGACGGTAACTGTGGGAGGTATCGGAAATAAACCCAAGATAAACTAAAATTGCTCTTGAAATAACTATGGGCTCTGTTTTAGTGCACAACTTGCTTATAAATCGTGTACCTCCTACTCTTACAAGGTCGATTTAATAAATATGACCCCGTTGTTACCGTCATTCACAAAACCTTCCTATCTTACTCGCTAAAACAGGTGTATTACAACTCAAATATTACAGCGAGGTTACAAGAGCAGTGAGCACAGTTCACAGCATGACTCAGGAGAACGCTGATGACGTCACAGAGCAGGAGATTAGTGACGTCATAGACCAGCTCCAAAACATCGCCGACTCAGCTCCCTCCCAGCTCCATCAGGTAGGCGTTAAAAGGGAACCAATTACAACTCTTAATACGTATAGAAGGAGGGCTTCCAGGATTAATATCAGGGTATCGACATACATCATGATCTTTTCGGTCTTACTGCATCGCAGTAATTCCACTACATATTCATTCAACTACAAATAGTTAACCATTCGAGAATATGTAACTTAAAGATAACAAAAGAACGAAGAATAGAACACCGCACTCAAAGATGTCAATATCTTAAACAGAAGACAACTCACGATACGATGCTAAAACTTGACCATCTGCCGTGACTTTTATTATCAACACGAGAGAGCAAGAGGGGGGGGGGGGGGAGTTGACGCGTAAATTATATCTGAGAATTAACAAAATTCGATATAAAATACGTCTCCCCCAGATTTCTAAAATATTACCATTCCACGCAGGGTGTGCTGTGCAGTACAGTGGACTGGATGTTTGGTATGCAGATAGACAAGTGGAGGGCTGGAGAGATGGTGTCCCTCGCTCAGAAATCCAACTTTAAGAGGACTTTACAACTACTCGAACTGTTCGGTGGTCACCAGGCACTGTACAAGGTACTTTTAATTTCCAGTTAGCTGGACTAATTTAGCTCGGTAATGAGCAGTGAACTGTAATGAGAGGGAGGAGAAGAAGTTTCCCTGTACGATTAAACCTGCTATTAGCGCTCTCAATTCAGTTCTAGTCAATTCTTAGACTTCTGCTGAGGACGGGATTTGTAATCCCTGGAGGAAGAGACTATTAGGGTTAATGATGTGTAGTATGTATTGTGAGTAAATTACAGCAATCATTATTCCTGCTAATAAGTAGGATTATACAGCGTCTCAGGGCCTTCGTTTTATAATTATTTTAATTTTCGTGAGCTGAACGACTTCGACATGATTATCATGCGAGTCTGGTAGTCCACCGTAATTTAATTGCCCAGTTCAGATTTTCAGATTATCAAGATAATTAAAAATGCTACCAATTAAAGAGGACATCAAATCAGGAATTTTCCGGGAATAAGTTGGTTCAATTGTTCCAACTAATTACACTACCAGCTTATTGAGATTCTTATAAAAAGTCTACGATCAATTAAGCTAGTCCAGTATATGTCAATCTGGCCACAACATGGTCCTTTCCGGAAGTTTGACTGTTTAATTTCAGGTGTCACTGTACACAACAGTCCACAGAGTGATGTGTCAAGCAAACCCCTCCATAACAAAGAGACATCTTCACAACATACTGAACCCTGCTACAAACACCGTCAACAACTTCGAACAGGTAAAATTGAGGAAATTAAATTGAGAGATGGGGTTATACTAATAAGGGGGAGGGGGGGGGCTATTATAGTGTTGAAGTTGCCTTCTGATATCAAGCAGGACCACGAAAGAAATCTTATTCGAAATATGCAACCAAAAAACAAATAAACCGAGAAGAGGACCCTTGTTCCACATTTCAGTGTTCTGAGGGGCCAACTTACACACTAAACAGTTAAATCACTGAGTGTGGGGACTGAATACACGCATATCAGCCTGGAGACTCACTTAATGGCAGTCAACATTCAAAACTACCGTATTAGTGTATTACACTACAGTAGTTTCATGTCAGTCTGTAATCTGATGACACTTCACTCAGCGCTTCCCGTGCGACTAAAGATGCGGTTTTAACTGGTATTTAATCGATGGCATTTATTTGGATCTGTCAATAAAACATAAACACCTGTTAACTTCTAATCTAGTCATGCATGGTGGCATAAGTGGGATTAGATAGGCTATGTGGTTTTATCAGCGGGATAGGGGGGTCGTAGGGGTGTATGTTAAAGAACAGAAACATTCTTACGCGGATATTAAGTGATATCTTTTTAAATCCAGTATAAATATCTGAAATAAGGTTCCTGACAGTCTATTCTATTTCAGGTTCTAGCTATAGAAGTGTGCTTGAAGTACGTGCCCAGTCTCCTCCTCCCCTCTAAAGACAAACTTCTCGACCACATGAACGTTTTCCTCAGATCTCTCAACTGAATAACCAACTGTTAACCACCTTTGAACTGTGCTGAGATTGAAACAGATAGAGCGAGCTTTCTAGTCCCCCCTGCAGAACCATATCTTCATGACAGTGCCTACGTGATAAGAACCTTATCTTCACAGTGTTGCGTGATACGAACTTTCAGACCTGAACAAGACAGGACTTCAGTTCTGTTTCTCAAAACCCAACCTTGCTGAACTATTGTTCACGTGCTGAATCTAAAGCAAAACCCGAGATATGTGTGGCAACTCTGAAGATGAGTTTCCTTTTTACTTATATTTACAAAGGAATTATTAAACTGTGTGTACATTTGTGTACATTGATGATTCTCCTCTGATTCGTTACGCATGTGATTGTGTTTGAGTTTAGCTTCTTTCATTTAAGATTGCGGCCGTTCTAAAGTTTTGATTTAATAACGATAGATCATCATCATTATTAACAAGTTTTCTTCACTGAAAACAGTTAATATTACCGCAAGAGTGAAGCTTGCAGGGTGACTTGTTTTATTAGTAGTAAGGTATCCGCCAATACTAAAAGTTTGTGCCCTTATGATATCATTTGACAAGATTTATGATAGCATTTGTAAGTCTTGAGAAATCTCTGGAGAAAAGTAGTGGCCGATCTCAAAATATGCCGTCCGGATTTATTTTGTGAATTATAGTTGTACTTTTATTATTCTTATCGTTTTAATCTCTTCAATTCGTTGTTTTATTCTACTAATTATTTCTTAAAAGTCATTTAAACTGACCATGACATCTAACTGAAAAATAATCAAACTTTACTTTGTTGTAAAAATAAATAAATTCTAATATAAATCAATCTGAACCTACTTTAACATATTCAAACATAAAGGATTTGATAAACTTTTGGATGGTGTAAATTTTCACATTTTTACAGTCTTGCGGGATATATCGTATTTACAGTTTTGATACAATTTTAGAGGTTTGATCAAAAATTGGCATTAATTATCAGTCTGAAATAATGGTCTCTGAGAAATGGGATTAGTTTCAGCAGCTATGAATTTCAAGTAGGATAATAGTCAAAGGAGCAATAAAGCTAGATGTTCACCCAGTCCATGATCTCTGTTCACATTTGAAGTTTACGACACAGCAAGTGACATTGAGGCAGCCTCAAGTTCATCATCTGAAAATTAAAAGTGGTCAGTATGATTGACGTTGGAGCAGACCTAACTACATTCAAATATTCTTCGCATTTGTCAGTTGTCTTATGAAGGCCATTCTATTCTGAATGTATGTAGATGATATTATATCATCAAGAGTGTATAAGAAAAAGATCTGTTGAGAATCTAACGTTCAGCTGCGAGGAAGATATATTCAAATGTGATCAGAAAACTCGTTAGATTGGCTGAGGTGAACTTCGAGCTTCTTCGGGAAATGCGAGAGCTTTTTAGTCGGTACTCGGTATGCTATCTGAAAGCCCTGAGGAGAAATTGTTTAAAGTTTGATTCGGTCATTTTAATACCTGGTTCAAAAAATATGTTCCTTCCAAAAAGATACCATTTTATATGTTATAAGTATCAAGAAATGAGTCTCCAAGGTAGACTTAAAGGTTAAACTGAATAAAATATAATAATCGCTCACCTAAAATATCATATATCCCTAAATCCTATTTTCTATTATCTGATAAGCTGTAAGCTAGACCGTTTAAGTTTCGTTTTAACTTCTGATTTTGTGTCAGCGTCTCTCGTGTCATCTGACCTGAAATTTAAACAGTTAGTAATTTATTTACAAGCAAGGTTTCAAGACACATGAATTGTGGTGGTAATAATGATATATGTATTTTAATCGGCGGGAACATATTTCCCGCCTGTAAGCAAGCCTTGCCGCAAATATTGAGGACCAGTACCACTACCAGGTAATTGCCGCCACTTCTTTGTGATATAATAGTGCAGTACAACAGTAACACGGATGAACCATTTCCTGCAATCATGTTCTATAATTAGCAGCTCTGTAGGGTTCCCAGCTCCCGTGGTTTGAATTGAGCGGGAGAATGCTCCAGGTGAGGGGCAACTTCCGGGTCACAGAGATTGTTGTCGGTGCATAAGAGGGGGGGCAAGAGCGTGCAGGAGCGTGCATGAATAGGAGAGGGAAGGCACAATACTATTAAAAATAACAGCGGGTTTTAGCGTACTGTATGATTTTATTGATTTTGGCCTTTTTCAGAGAGAAAAATCGCCCAAAATGATCACATTGACGCTTGATCATAAATTTAATTATCTTTTGAGTTTGGACTGAATATCTAAATCTAATGAATTCTTTTAAAAATATTAACAAACCTGGGATTGAAAGGGTTTTCGCTGAGTCGTCCTAAGAAACAAAGTTTTACGGCCAGATTGTGTGGGCTAGCGGCTGCTTTAGCGGGGGAGTCAGGAGTGAAGAGTTTGTAGCCAGACGAGAAGGAGGGGAGATGTTTCTTCCAACTCCTCTTAATCTTCAGAGGGGGAGGAGTGAACATTTGGTCATCTGTAGCATCCGTCTTCATGGAGACAAGAGAGACATGTGAGTCACTGTTTACTATTTCTAGTGGAGACAGGTCTGTCGATAGAAGTGGTTCTACGTCTGAGAGTGTTTTTTCTTTCTTGCTAGTCTTTGAGTCGTTGAAAATATTAATTAAGTTGACGGCTCTGGCTTTTGACTTCTTTTTTGGAATTGCTTGGACTTTTGATCTGGTTCGTTTTGGTGAGGCGAAGCTGTCTTTTCTTTGCCTGGGTGATATGACATCACTTCGTCGGGTTTTTTCAGGAGTCTTTGAACGGAGTATTTTTGGGAGTTTCTTGTGTTTAGGGGACTTTTCAAGTGGGTTGAGCCTGTCAATAACAGAGTCACGGGTCACTTTGATTCTCATCCTGGCAAACGGGGAGAAGTGACGGCAAGCAGAGCAAAGCAAAAGGAGCACGCATTAAAATAACACCACCCTGCCCGGCCCGCCACTTCTTCAAACCAATATCCTTATTGCGGTGAACCAACCACAGTAGAGCGAGCTGATAACCCTCCAATCACAGCACGGCAGCTGTTTCCTGAACAACAGTGGGAACAACCACGTGACAGTCACGTGGTCCCTCCTGACGCGCGCACGTGTGGACCACGTGATCAACGTCCCGAGCACGTGACCACATCCGGTGCAGTTTGCTGGTCAGAACTCAGAGTAGTGGTGGGTAGTAAGGGGGAAGTGAGTGGGATGCGCCTCATGACCTCGGTCCATGCTCAGCTAGCAGCTCAGCTTCTTCTGCTTATCTTTCAGCCCTCTTTCTCATAATGAATAAAATGTTTTTTCGTCGGGTTTGATAAGAAGTATTTGGTGTAATTTGATCAATACCCTTTTTCGGAACACAAAAATGTTGTGGTAATAGAATATCAAATAATGGTCCATGCATTGAAATTGGAACCGTATAACCTATTGGTGATACATCGTTAATACTAATTAGGCTAGTATAAATAGGCTAGTATTTATATTCTTTGTTTGTATAATTTGTACCAAAGTAAAACATGAACATTTAATTAGTAACATAACAATTTATAAATAAGTCACTATAATTATAAATCAACACAATACAAAACAGTGCATAGAAAATATTTATGTTAATTGTTAAATGTTAAGGGCTGTGCGTTCAGCTTTTGGTTTGATGGGGGCAATTCGATCTACCACTCGAAATTTAAACATATAAATCAAATACTATTGCTAATGGGGTTGAGAACCTAAAGTGAAACTGAAAGCATCGAAAGTTACATAATTGCTTCATTAATCAAACAAAAATGGGTGGTGATAACGAATTGTAACTAATATAAAGCAAAAGCCGATCAATCTTTAAACTTGTTTAACAAAAGGAAGAACACCGCCACTGTCAGAGACACCCAAAATACTCCTACCACCATGATAATGATGGAATATCGCTTGATTTTGCTCGCCAGACGTTCCGCCCCTAAAAAGTTGTCTCTATCGATCATATCATCGACTTTGAAGGCCTGATAGAGGGACCAATAACCACAAGGAGGGCACATTATGCAAGTTGAGAGGGCAATACAGAAGTATTGTCTTAAAACGGACTGGTCCATCATGAACTTGTGGTGAGACCTGTCCAGAGTGTTTGGCTGGTGACTGAGCAAAGTGTTTGGCTGGTGACTGAGTAGAGTGGGGTGGTGATAGCTGGTGAGAGTAGGATGGTCGGGGAGAGTGGGGTGATTGTAGCCAGGTATTACAGGAGGTTGTATGAAGCCCTGGACCTGGAGGTCTATCTCCTCACACATGGTGGGTAGAAGAGAAGGAGGGGGTGAGCCGGGCCCTCTGTTTAGAGACAGAGTGTTCTGCTCGTAGGAACTGTACCCGGAAGTGTCCGCTTGTCCGGGACTCCGCCCCCTGGAGGGAGGTAAGGGAGGTTGAGGGGCTGTACGCTGGGGCACGTACCTCACTAGCTGTCTCCTCGGGTAATGGCCAGCGTACTGCATGTGCTCCATGTTCTCGTAGGGCTCCTGTTGTCTCTTTCCTCCCGAGTTTGAACGTGTTATCGGAGGGTATATCACTTGATTCACTCCTTGGTGGTTCGGGATTTGCTGGTTCACAATTTGCTGACTATTTGGCTGCTGGTTTATTACTTGGTGATTCATTGGCTGCTGGTTTATAATTTGGTGATTCATTGGCTGATGATTCAGTACATACTGATTTGCCACTTGTTGATCCAATCCATGCTGATTCATATCTTGCTGATTTATTAACTGTATTTGCTGATTTGAGTTAGAGTAACGCTGATGTTTCACCGCTTGTTGGTGATTAGGAACTTGTTGTTGAGAAAGCGATTTATACTGATGAGACATACCGTTGACTGATCCTAAATGCAGAGGTCTGGGAGTGTAAAACTTAGCGTTGTAGGGCGATATTATGACATTTTCATACGGCTCATTTTGCCCACTGTAAGTTATTTGTTTCTCGCCCTCTTCCGGTTGGTGCAGATCCGGAACTGATTTCTTCTTCTTCGGGATGAAAAGTGGACTTTCCACCATTTTCCGTTGTCTGAGAATGGTAAGATGATCAGTGATACTCTACAAGCAGTTTAAACAATCTAGCCTAACAAATAGACAAGTTAAAATTATTCCCCGTTTAGCAATCCACAGTATACGTTAATAAATATTTATACAGGGTGTACCGTTCGTTAGTCTGCTAGATAATCATAGATTCTAACCTTTCAACTTCATCAAATTAAACCTAATGATCTGATTAATTACCGACAACCCACCCGTTGACGGAAAGCGAGTCAACTTCACGCACAAACATTATAATAATAACTAAACTGAAATACTGTTTAAACCAAGCCTAGCTGCCGCTATTATTACCTCTTCTTAGGATGTTTCTTGTCGAAGATTCCCTGGCAGTCCCTGATCCTAGTAAGTATTGGAGATCCTCGGACTAGTCTGACAGCAGGGTTCTGATCACTGTCTGGAGCATCCTTCAACAACATATCTGAAATGTTGACCTTGTAATACTGGCAAAAATTTGTTTTGTTATAGTAAATTTAAACGTCATGAATTGTTCGGAGAGGTGAAAGATTATGTTTTACATAAATTTGCCTTATGACGTGGGATTATTGTCAGATTGGATGTAAATCTTTTGACAAATGGGAGTGACGAGCCCCTGAGGGCACGTGCAATGTCTAAAAAAGCCTCGATAACAATGCGATAAACCACTTTTATCTACATAACAACGAACACTTAACGAAAACGAGCTATCATAAAACAACTAAGCAACACCCTGGTCACACAATTTTTGCCTTGTAGTTCAGTAGTGGCCTAGACTATAAACCACTCAAGATGTTTAACTCTAGTTCGACTACTTAGTTAGTGCCACATACGCAAGTAGTCGAGCTAATAGTCGAGCTCAGCTATGAATTTGAAATATACAGCCGTATAATTGCTTTAGAATACGGTGGCAGAATACATGTGTAGAATAGATCATATTGTAAGAAGTATGATACTGTTAGCTCTGCAAAAAATCTTCATCAAACACAACACAAGCTCTCAACAACAAACTAGAAGCAAAGGTGGTGCCCACGGTGAGTACTTGAGTAGGAAACAGGCGTCTAGACATTGCTGTATTTGTACAATAACCGCAACACTACTACCATCAGCAATATCACCACTATCACCATCACCACCATTCACCAATATCACCATCACTATCAATATCACCATCACCACTAATATAATTGACATCATAAGTTTCATAAACATTAAACATCACTTTCGACTTATAAAAAATTGTGCAATCGTGTAAAAATTAACAATATTCAAAATACATGATATAATAGTTTTCTTGAAGAAAATAAAATCTATCAGAACTAAACAAACGAATCGATATGATACATGTATACAAGCCACATTCAGTCGACAGTAATGTAGAATCGTAACAAGTAAAATAAAGGTAATATAATAGCGACTCAAAGCACAGGCTGGCACAGGTCAGCCGATACCCTAGACAGACTAGCACCACGTAGGCAATGACTATAAAAAACATGCTGATCAGAGCTGTTATCAGACTCACCTTGCTGTCCTTCTGTCTCTGACGTAATACTGCATTCTTCCTAAAATGTCGTTCTGTTAGTGCTTGTAAAGTATATCGGATGATGATATGAATGATGTGACAAATAACCTCTAACAATCAGAAATTAGCCGGATACAATCAACAGGTACTACGATTCGTACAAGCAAGTAAATTTCGTTATAAATAGAGGTGCGCCAATGTTAAAGCACTTGCAACAGAGGTCAACTGGGAAAGGAGCGTAATTACCAGGGTTGATAGTATTATTGCAAGTGAGGGATAACTTCATTACTTCATTGTGTTCTGGGTAAATATCCACTTAGAGCGCCTGCCTCTATTACCCCAATATTTCAGCTCCTATAAGTATACGTCGAGTAAGGGACAACTAAAAATAGCAATTATTGCGAGGAAAACTTTCAAATTTGTCGTTATTCCTCCAATTCGACGTCGAGAAGTGGGTTAATAAGTTTAAAGCACCTTGGAATGTTTGTAAACGCGTCACACCTTGAAAATAGGACTAACTGCTGCTAACCGTCCTACTAAGGATAACTACTGCTTATTAGCCACAAGTTTTGTTAAAAACCAATTCCAGCCGCTCAAAAGTGAGCTAATAATTGAAATCATGACGAAAAGGACCGTGTCCAGCCATGCCGACTGGCAGTGACACAATCATATTAGCACACACTTTGTTTTTCTTAAATACCTTCATCCTGTCTCGTCGGCCCTCATTTTCACAAAACACCAAGGAATTTGTAAAACCTAGAGTCGGCTGAATGAGGCCTAATAGTTGACCGCCAAGATCCCACGTCCAGAAAGTTTAAAATTTCCTTGCAGATCAGGTCTTCTAAAAATTTAAATTTCTTCGCAGATTATTTGTTGATTTACTACTTCTCTGGATGCGGGGCCAAAATAAACCGTATTTTTTAGTTTTACTATTTAAGTTCAGAAGGTAGAAGGATCAGATAACGGAACAGTCTTTACACTCCAATAAAGTTAAACCAGCAATTTGGAATCAAGGCTCTGGGGCCTAAAATCCAAATTGCTTCTTCTTTTGATTGGTCGGCGTCGACAGTAAGCCTTCCTTACGGTGGCTTTCACAACGCGTCCCGATTTCTCCAACTCCTGCTGCTGGAGAGAGAGACTCCCAAGTTATATACCATAAATATATTAAACATATAATTATATACTCTCGGAGTCTGTTGTCGATATCTATAGATACAACTCCGAGAGTCTTGAAGTTCTGTTACCACCGCCCCTGGTGCAACCCCTTGGGTTAACGACGAGGAGACAGGGACTTCAAGGGACGGTCAAGTCCTAGTATTAATCTGCAAGTTGTCCTATGTGTGTTAGTGGTTAATACAATCCTCGAAAAGATCCTCCTTGAAAGTTGAATCCAAATTGCATTACATTACCCGCGAATTCCAGGCTTAAGTGTTCATAAAAACGAATGAAGATATGGCGGAGTGACAGTCTAAGCACCGTCCAATAAGCTGTAAACTCTCGAGCGGCTCTGGATAAGATCTATACATTCTACATTCTAAAGTGCACTCCACCAGTTTAACAAAATAAAAGGTTAACAAACACCCAGAAGCTCACACAGAAAGTTGACAAAACACGGAGAGTTGAGGCAGTATATTACAGCAGGATAAAGAATAATAATACTAAGAGTGTATCCAGAGAGAGAGAGAGAGAGAGAGAGAGAGAGAGAGAGAGAGAGAGAGAGAGAGAGAGAGAGAGAGAGAGAGAGAGAGAGAGAGAGAGAGAGAGAGAGAGAGAGAGAGAGAGAGAGAGAGAGAGAGAGAGAGAGAGAGAGAGAGAGAGAGAGAGAAAGAGAGAGAGAGAGAGAGAGAGAGAGAGAGGGGGTGTACCCTGAGCCAATGTACACAGATACTGTGCAGTGTACTGTCATCTAACAGACTGCTCATCTCTAGGAAAACTTTGTCAGCTATTGTCACATGACACCAGTGCTCGTGTCTGATTGGATTGAGCCCGGGAAATTGCTACATCGCTATCAATAACCCAAGATTTCTGGCGTTTTACTTTCTCGATGGGAGAGGAAAATTTGGTGGATTTACAGAGGCAATCATGCGAATAAACAAATGGAATAATCCTAATTACTGATAGCATCAAGACGAATATATTATTGAGTTTTGCCAGACACTGATTATCCGAGGAGTAGGAACTAGGAACTATTGATTAACACTGACTCGTATATAGAGGTCGTATATAGAGGTGTTTTATAGACGTCTTCCTGGCAAGTGGGTCTCATTACTCACACTATTACAGACAGAAAGACATTATGTCATGGTCACCTTGAACACCCACCGAGGTCACTGTTTTGTCTGACCAACTAGATAGCAACAGTACAGACTGAGAGTTTAGACTATAGACTAGACTCTCGGTGGCAGATGATAATGTTGCTGTTGGAGTTTGAAGCCTCAGTTCCAGATTGCTTAGCGGTAAACACTTGTTAGTATCCCTACATTGGTCATTTAGTGCAAACATAGAAACGTAATTGTAATGACCTATACTCACTGCTGATCATTGAATAATAATAATTTTATAGTGATCACCTGGTTGTAGTATCAGTAATAAATCTTGACTAGCTGGTAACTATATAGAAACGTACTAGTAAAGTAGTAACTATACAGTTATGGAAACATAGCCTGCATTCATTTATAATGATCGTCAAGTTACCAATTAATTACCACCAAATGCAGAGCCACTTTTTTCATCTTCTAGCCACTCAATCAACGTAAACCATTCCTGATTTATCTAAGCACCGTTTGCACATAGAGAGTTTAGCACCATTACTTTCTGAAGACAAGTTCTCTTTCATGCATGAGCGGGGAAGCATTGCCACAAGGATCAGAGCAGGATAGGTGGGAGTTAGGGCCAGATCATAATATTAATGATCATCTCTAACATAAACGAGGGTAACGAAAGTGAATCAAATAACGACAATTGAGCTCAAGTGACAAATTTTCTCTTCACCAAACCACAGAAAGGAGTTATAATCGAATAAAACTGTAATTTTTAAACAGAGGCCTGAGAATTATATCCAGACGGACTATTATCCTGCGGGCCGAAACCTCATGTTAAGATAACATGTCTCAGGTCTTATCTGGTCCTCTTTAAAAGTTCTGCTGTCACAGTATAGCACAGAAAGAGCCCTTGCTAGAAAGTGCCGCCCAACTGTTGACCGTCAACTCTTATCTTTTTAATTAGTCCTACTTTTCTGTCGTGTATCTGTGTGTTATCCTTCAATCTTTTTATCACGGAGGATTCGAAAAAGTTCCCTTATTCAATTTTCATTCCGGAATAGGCCTGCTGATTATAAGGTACTTCAAGCATTGTGCCACCCTTCAAATCACGACAATAAGATTAAGTGAAAGCAACGTTAACAAAGCAAATAAAAGGGAATTAGCAGAATACCCATATGCAGGGGTCGGCCGAGGAGCGTTTTTTTGGCCGAGGCCTAGGACTCGGTCAACCCCTGAACCGAGGAGTGACTATTTTGACCGAAGCCGAGTACTCGTCAAAATGGCCGAGGACTCGGACTCGGTCGACCCCTGCTAATATGTTATACATCGCTGCTCCAGTACAGTAAAGCTAGTACATTTACAAATCTCTATTAAATTACAAGGGATCTGCTGATAACGAAGGAACAAAACAGTAACTAGGGCAACTATGTAGGTGCACAGCACGGCTGCTGGTGAATTAGCACTCCATAACCAAAATACACAACATGATGTCAACTGTAAGAGAGAACGGTTAGTTCCGGGGCTGTGACTGGGGTTGGGTTTCAATGCGGCATTAATTGGCAGGTTTGTAATTAGTTAACGGTATCACCATTAATCAATCATATCCGCAATATAGAGGCAAACTATCGATTTTGTATCAGATTTCAGCTAGTGATCATGCGAGATGGTGTACCATGGGCGGGGCCAGTTAATGATAATAGCGATAAACGAAGCCTTATATACCTGGGAAAGACACGTGGGCTCAGGGAAAACCCAAAACTTCACTCATTCCAAAGGTCTATATTAATATACAGAGTCTACAGTAGAGGGTGGGAGAAACCTCATCTCTACATTACTCTGTAATAGCGCACAGTAAATATAAGCGGACAGACTCGGTATAGCTCATTTAAATGAACTTAAGTTAGGAAGGGTTTGAAGGACCCCCGGGCCAAGGCAGACACGGTCCCCTTTAGAGTTTAGTAAGCATCTTTCTATCATAACCTATTATCCTATGAATAATCATTGTCCGTAGAACGACTTCTTACCTCTAGAATTTACTAGAGATCATCATTGTACGAATATAGGTCACAATAAATTAGTGTCAGTAAACTTTACCTAAATCAAGCCATTATGATTGACAATATGTTTAATTGTTATAAAGTTTTTAAAGATACTATGGGCATGGTACTGGCATTATTAGGGAGTATTCGGTCATTGAAATTAGGAAGTACTCGGTCACTAAATTTACGGCATCTGTTCTGAAAATTCATTTAGAAAGCCCAATGGAATAATGACCCAGAAAAATCGATCGAAATCAAGCGTTAATACACAAAACAAGTGATATGGTCGGGTACTAGGTAAGTGAGGTCTGTAAATTAGAGCCAATCAAGAAGTTAGAGCTGAATAAATGTAATTACCCCGGTCCAGACGAGCGGATGTGCCCCAATAAAACAGCGGGTTGTATCATACTGCACTCCATACTGCACTCGGTCAAAGATTAAGAGAAAGGGTGGCCTGGTAGGGAGGGAGGGAGGGAGGGAGGGAGGGAGGGAGGGAGGGAGGGAGGGAGGGAGGGAGGGAGGGAGGGAGGGAGGGAGGGAGGGAGGGAGGGAGGGAGGGAGGGAGGGAGGGAGGGAGGGAGGGAGGGAGGGAGGGAGGGAGGGAGGGAGGGAGGGAGGGAGGGAGGGAGGGAGGGAGGGAGGGAGGGAGGGAGGGAGGGAGGGAGGGAGGGAGGGAGGGAGGGAGGGAGGGAGGGAGGGAGGGAGGGAGGGAGGGAGGGAGGGAGGGAGGATGGGAGGGAGGGAGGGAGGGAGGGAGGGAGGGAGGGAGGGAGGGAGGGAGGATGGGAGGGAGGGAGGGAGGGAGGGAGGGAGGGAGGGAGGGAGGGAGGGAGGGAGGGAGGGAGGGAGGGAGGGAGGGAGGGTTTAAAACCTCTAGTTCTGACATACCTTAATTTACTTTAATTGTTCGTGCGTCAGTTCCACGGCCATTATCATGGTATAGTCAAGTTTAATCATAGAAAACCATACATTTTTGAGTCATTTGAAATTAAAGATTTAAAAAGTGCTACATTAAACAAACAATGGTCTGAAAATATAATCTCTACGAAGATCACTATGTCCTAACTACAATTTTCTCCACCCAGTGCGAGCTGTGTACAGAGCACAATTTCGAGTAGATCCATTTTCACTAAAGCCATTTTTTAATTGTTCATTATATTAGCGTTACTCATTGCAGCGAAAAAATAATTTCTTAGCAGCTTCCTGAGGCTCAGGATGTTGACTTTAAAATGTTATTTAATATTACCATGTTATACTTATGTATAAATAGCGCATTTGCACTTGCAAACGTGTTTTTTAATCATAACTTTTTGCAAAAACTGTCGCTGGGTCTAATTTTTTTTCTGCAATATTCAATGGAACATTTTTCCAATCTTATGATATACAATTTAGCATTAGCGCAAGAATTAAACTAAAATTACATTCCTATGCACGGATTTTGGTTGAAGACCCACGCATTCACGTAAAACCGGTTAACAAACCGATTAAAAACATAATACAACATCAACAGCATTATGATTTATGGCAAATACTCATATACACTTCCCCAGTCCTTAATAAAATCCTAAAGACAATACAATTTACATTAAATAATACATAGAGTGAAAATTATTAACCGAATCAAAATTAAAAGAAAACAATCGTGCCATTTATTAATTACAATTTGCTCTTCGCTTTATTCAAATTAACACGGGTCTGCTTTTTCTTTTTTAGTAGAACCATTTTTCCTTTTGTGAAACGTTTGTACCTCAACTTTAGTGTGTCCAACATCGCCTGAAATATTATTATGTACTTATTAACAGTAAACTAAGATAACCCGTTTAATGTGTTTATAAGCGAAGTAGAAGTAGATAACGGGGTTGCAGCAAAAGTAAACTAAGATACCCTGTTTATAAGCGAAGTAGAAGTAAATAACGGGGTTGCAGCAAAAGTAAACTAAGATAACCTGTTTATAAGCGAAGTAGAAGTTAATAACGGGGTTGCAGCAAAAGTAAACTAAGACAACCTGTTTATAAGCGAAGTAGAAGTAAATAATGGGGTCGCAGCAACAGTAAACTAAGATAACCTGTTTATAAGCGAAGTAGAAGTAAATAACTGGGTTGCAGCAGGCACTGAGCAGGATTGTTGAGTAACTGATAGTTAGGAAATTACAGTACCAGGTAAAGTTAACGTCAATCATGGGACCCTTTCCCATTAATCTGAAATCAAAAGTTCGAGTTAGGGACAGCTGACATGAACAAAACATTTTATATCAGTATAAAAGTAGTTCCCTTTTCAACAAATAGATAATAGATAGTAGTATATAGGGATTAAGGGAAAAAACATGGGCGTGTCGAGCGAATACGTGAATAAGAGGGGATGAAAGATGGAACTCTTACCTGAACAGGATGTCAATAGAAAGCAACCACCAGGGCATGTAACAGATTACAAACAGGGTTACCATCAGTAAGGTGTAAAAAGCGCTCTGTATGATCACCTTTAGTCTCATATCTAATCTGTCTATCCTTTTCTCGAACATATTCCCGTTACGTTTCTCGTTCCCTTTCACCCTCAGATGGGACAAGATTTTCTTCTTCAGGCTAGGTTTTGATTTCGGGACATCATCCCCAATGATGGCTGGGGTGGATTGGGCCAGTCTTGATCCTTTGTTTTCGGCGGTGAAGGATTTCTCAGGCACAATTTCCTTACAAACCAACTTGTTGGGCAAGGAGTTGGTTTTACTGAGAGGGGGATGGAAATCCCGGATGGAGTCTGACTTTATAGGAGGGTGTTCTTTACTAGAGGTGTTAAAAACCTCCTCTGGTATGGGGGTGGTGCTGATTCTAAAGGAGGATTCGGGAGACTGGGTGACTCTGAATGATTTGACACTGGATTTGGACACAGGGACTTCTCTGCACACACCATTGACACACACAATTTTAGGTAAAGGAGAAAGTTGGGACGAAGTAGAAGTTACGGACTCCTCCAGGATACTGTTAGATCTGCAGCGAGCTGCTACTTCGTTGAACGATGAAAGCCTTCTCATGAGGGCAGGTTTATTACTGTTATTATTGCTGAAGGAAGAGTTTGACTTGTCGCTGTGATTTGAGTTGCTGTTGTGGTTTGAGGTTTGAGCACCCATTTCTTTTATATCTTCCAAATCTGAAGTTCATAAATTATAAGTGTGTCGAATTTGGTAACAGAAAAGACAAGTAGATAACAATTGAAATGCTGCATCTTATTTTAAAAACCCCGGTCTCCGGTGGCCGGAATATTCAAATAGTTAAAATTAGTATTGGGCATCACCCTTACCTTTGTTGAGGAATTTCTTCATGGCCTGAGCGACCACAGTGGCCATATCAACCCGGGGCGATGGACTGGCCTCCCCCATATAATTGAGCCCTTGTTCTACCATGCTCACTTTCTCCTCTTCCTCCTGAATGATATCCTCGCAGAAAGAGGGCGTGGCTGAGCCTCGTCTAAACCGCCATGAGGACGAGCCTGTGAAACAAGTAGATTAATGTAGATTAATGTAGATCAATGTAGATTAATGTAGATTAATGTAGATTAATGTAGATTAATGTAGATTAATGCAAATGTAGATTAATGTAGATTAATGTAGATTAATGTAGATTAAAATAGATTAAAGTAGATTGAAGTAGGTTGAAGTATGACAAGATGTGCCTTTATATTGGATATTGTTTAGATTTCGTCTTTGGCTTTAAGCTCGTTTAAAGTTTTCATTAAAGCAAAAACTCAAGGAACTGATGTGTATACATAAAATTTAAAACTTACTTATATCGGGATTTTCTTGGCAGTCGTAATAATTTAGACTTATGGGACACTCTTCCGCTTCGTAGTCAATGGATCGCCGGGATTCAGTGAAACTATTTGACTGTATCCGCTCAAAAGTGGCGTTTCCCGCCGTTTTAACGATGAATCTGTTTATGTAGTAAGCTACAACTCCCGCTCTATCTGATTCCTGGTTGTTAAAGGTGGTTCTGGAGAGCGAGGACACGGCGTAGCTCATCAAATCTTGATCTATAACCTCCGTCTCTTTCTGAGGAAATCAAGGTCTTGATTACTGATAAAGATCAAAATAAATCATGAAAATATGAGACATTAAGAAAATATCGCCTAAATAATGACTATATATTCCTCGGACGTCACCTACCTCGATTCGCTCCAATTCGACGATACTGAGTGGGCGGTTAAGGAAGGAGATAGAGCTGGACCAGGAGCTGATGGCCAGGGAGATCTTCTTTCTGTTGGAATTAGAAGTGGATTTAGAGACAGGAGGCAAGGGCTCCGCCTCTACCAAATCCTTATCATTCTCCTTCTCTTTCTCCTCCTTCTCCTCATCCGCTAGGTTCTCCACTGATAAACATCGGAGTATTCAGCAAGATATTACAGCAGTGAGTAGCTGATAAATGATAAAACGTGACTATCTGAATGAACTTGAACATTCCGTAACCGAAAATGATTCAAATATTCGTTAATCAGCAGCGTTGCAGCTGATTCATCAAGTGGAGTATGTAATGTCATGACAGCCACAGTCACAGTGCGAAAATCAGCGCTAAATTTGTAATTTATCAGTATAATGTTTGGCCACTTCACACGTGCATGCAAATGGCAGAAGGCAAGAAATCGTTAAACTAAGCGCCGTATATTACCGTTGACGGTGACCAGGGAATAAGGGACCGAACGTCCCTCAAAACTTGATCCTACAAGCAAAGCTATTGATCATGATTGTAATAAAGTTTGACGAATTTCAGGAAATTGAAAACTTAGTTAGAAAACGATTTATCTTTTCAGATATTTTGTTGGTTAATATTGCTATTTTCTTTACCTTTGTTTGCAATTTTCCCTGATCGTAGTTTGTAGTGCACTGTTTTTAGTTGTATTACCTGGAAAATAATGATAATTAGAAGCAGGGTATCGGTTAATTTATACAAGGGCTAGTCGCAACAAAAGCAAGGTCAGGTCATAATCATTACTGGTTTAATTTTAAGTTCTAATCTTTCTATATATAAAGCGTTACAATATATATAATAGGTGTATCTGCCATTTTACTGACACCACGACATACATTTTTACACGAATTTCTTCAAAAACCGTGAGAGATGTACTATTGAAATTTGTTGGTCGGGTCGAATGATTTTATGGCCTTTTTTCTAGTATGAAGAAATAAAAAATTGGCCAAGGAATTAATAATTTGGGTCCCGCAAATTGGACCCCCATACGAAGGATCTAAAAAGGTCACAAAAAAGAACCAACGAGAAACACGAAAGAAGTAAAAGCTTACCTTCCACACTATCTGTAGATAGAGGGTGATGATAAGGAGACCAGGGAACACTATCGGAACCACCATCAATACCAGGTGGATTGCTACTCGGGTCTGTAAACAGGAGACGAGATTTAACAGAAACCTCAATAAAAGTTGTGGTTGTCGGAGCCACATGATTTTAGATTTGTGAAGTGAAATATTGTAGATACTTTCCAAAACATGATATTGTTATTAAATTGTTAACTGATCTAATTCAGAATATAAACATATGAAAAGCTCACATGAAATGACTGATCGTTGGCAACATGCCAGATACAGATAGAGAGACGAGTGTCGTACTCATAAGAACCCTGTAGAGTAAAGGGGACGAGGGGCAGGACGAATATGACGATCCAAACGCTGACAGCCACAGTCTTGACTCGTCTCTTAGTGACGAGAAGAGGGAGCTTCAGAGGAAACATTACTGACACGTAGCGGATCAGAGTCAGCATCGTCAGGAACCACAGAGACGTCCTGAGGAGTGAATCAGTAATTGTAAAATCTAGATATATATTTTTAAAGATATATAGTTTAAAAGAACAGTTTTAAATCGTAGTTCACACGACAATTAATACATTTTCCAAAGAAATAAAGTTCCAGTTGAACTGTTGAAGACACGAATTCAAACCTAGAAAAGCTAAGCGCTTAATGGATCATCCTGACACACATTATTTTAAAGTTAACTGATTTAACATGACTCGCTGTGAGGTTGAATACAAACCTCATGGTGAGGTTGAATAATACCCCAGTGAGGTTACACAGGACTCTGGTGAAGGTGTTGTCTAGTATACCCCCCTCTCTGCCTCCAGATAGCATGGTTATTGCACTAAACAGGTGCACTCCACTGTACACTGTATCACTGAGGAGTTAGGTAAAATCAGTTTTAAGGGTATTAAAGGTGAGGTAAAATTAGGTAAAATTAGTTATGACTTATGGAAGTACTAGATGTGAGGTTAAATGAGACTTAATTGGAGGTTAAGGGGAGGTTAAAACAAGTTTCGCTCCTGCATCATTACCGATACGCTAAGAAAGGATGAAAGAAGCTAATAATAATAAAACAAGATAAGCACAGAAAAAGCCGACTATCCAGTCAAGAGAGATACCTGAGACTAAGATTGAAGATAAGGAGAGAAGAAGCGAGCCGGGCTTTACTACAATTCTTCTTTGTCACTGTTCTTACTGCCAACACAACTGTGACAAGTATGAGGGTGTTTGCGGAGTGTTGAAATTCGACGTCAAGATAACCGAACATCGTAAGTCAAATACCTCAATATAAGATCAGTTTTGAATAGTAGTAAATAAATGGACTTGATTTTGTAATTTTTGTTATAATTTTAGCTACAATCTTGAGTTACTATATTAAGACTACATTGTTATACTATTGTGACATGACTTATGCGGCTGAATATGCATACAAAAGATTAAATCACTGAGAAATACCGATAAGATTGAAGAGAGTTCCGAGCAGGGCGAGGGCAAGGAGAACGGATCCGAGAATTGAGTCGAAAGTGGGGCTGTGATGGTATAGGTGATCTGTAGAGCTGTTGGCGCTGGGAGAGGACGCAGTTAGTACACTTTATTAACTAATCAACTAGTTAAGAAATTAATTTGTAACTTATTTGAGTCAACTACTATAAAGATAGTAACGGACTTCCTGGAAAAGTTTATAAATCCAAAGTCTGATAAATAAAACAATCTCTGTCAAAAACGTTGTCTTGAAATCAAACTACAAATTCCACAACTATTTTAGAATTATATTCCGCTACTTTAAATATTATGTATATCAGTAGCATAGGTTTCTTTTTATTGATACCGATAGTGTTACTGTAATTGGAACGATGGAACAAAATAAATGAGAACTTAACCAAAATAAAAGTGTGAATAAGCGGAGAGATGCCAATAGAAGGCAACTATACAGATTATAAACACAACTTACCTGCAGTTGAAATGATACGGATCCATACTAGGTCATACCTAGCTATCTAGGGTTCAGTGGCCTCCAACAATGGAACTACTTTAAAAGTCCGAGCATAGAGAGAGGGAGAGAGAGAGTTGTTACATTGCCCACAATAAGCACTGTAGACGGTATTTTAGTGAACAAACGTAAACGACGTCGCTAGAATCGGAATGACCTTAAACACGACAAATGTTATGGGAAGACGTGTATTAGTAGTTTTCAGAGATGAAAATATTGGCCGTTTTAAAATGGAAGCGACTAGTCTAATTAAATAGGACATGTAATGAAAGAACGAATTTGCATTTGATGCGCTCAAATGTACTAGACTATAAATCGTCATTAAATATTTGACGGACCTTACATCATCGTGCAATTGTTTTTGCTTATAAATCTTGTCTCGGCTCAAACGTTTATGCTCATCAATTAGTTGTCTTAGTTCATGGTACTGGTAGAAAGACAACTGAGTCCTTACCTAAAGTCAGCACAAACACCTATTACTTCACATGGGAAATATTGTGACTTTCAGTGTGTAAATCCAAGCCCTTATCGCCAGGCAACCTAGAATGATTTTGATCGATTGAATAAAACCTTTCGACTCATTATGAACAGAAAAACCAGTTGCTGTCACTTGATTAAAATACGTTTATCCCGCTTTGGGTGAGATATTTAAACAGGTTCTGACAAGGAACTATCATTTGACCGTTTTGTTGGCAGTCATAAAAGATAAAATTCCACAGCAGTTTTTATACTTATTATCATGCACTCTGTACTTCGTACGGGGCCAGAATAAAAGTCTGAGACACTTGTGTCACACGATGGATGGAACTGCGATTACTTATCATTCATCTAGCCTGCCACAAATTCAGTCTGTGACTCCGCGGCCACTCATTAGTAGCCTAAACATACGTTGCGCCATGATTGTACTTTAATGTTGCTGTCGTTCATTATTTGATGAAAGTTTCTAATCAAATCATGTAATCTTACAAAAAGACAAAACAAATTTCCAACGAACGGTTCAAATGTATTTGAAGTTGCTAAACGACTATAACGTATAATAAAGCGACAATGAATGATCACCGAAATCAATAGTTGGGCAACTATTACTATGGGGATCTAGTGCTCGAAGACAAAGAAGGGGAAATTGGGTGTTCATCAAAATTGGTACATTCCATTGTTAAAGATTCGCAGCTGTGTCATGCCTCCAATAAAGAATCAGAGATCATATTGTGTTGAAATAATTTTGGGCAAATGCCCACCCTTTAAACTGAAAGGTCGGATAGATAGTCTTGTCGAGTGTTGAGCAGTGTCTTGAGGGGAAATACACCAAACCGTTTATGATTTGACCCGGAAAATAACTTCATATTTGTAAAATATAGATAAAAACAATATGTTTTGGCACTTTTTAAATTAAAACCGTAATTTGGTTTTCCTCAAGTTCTGCGACAACGCGATTAGGCAAAGGAATCTATAGTTTTATAGTTTGCGCCAATCTCGTAGCCTCAGAACTTGTAGAAAACATAAAATTCCGGTTTCTCAAATGCAAAATGATACCGAGAATGAAATCAGTCGCTCGCTTTCCCCATTCATTTACGCTTATAATCGAGGAAACTACATGGAGGCAGCTGTACTCGGCAAAAACGGTTCGATAAACATCAGTTAATTGGACACTAACTACTGCCCTTATCCCGAAGTACTAGGCATCGGCCCGAAAGCAACCCAAAGAGATTTTTACAGAGTGTGATTGTCGATTGATGTAACAAACCGAAACTTATTACAATTCGTACGCCATGAATGAATGGGAAAAGCGAGCGACCGATTTCATTCTCGGTATCATTTTGCATTTGAGAACGGTTGTTCAAATTGATATCATTTCCTTTTGTTTTGGAAAGGGAGACACTGGCAACGGTCCACTCTCCCCAAATATGTGTTTTGGTAAAATATTTCATTGTAAATATTGCATGAGATATAATATTGATAAAACAAAGAATCAAGGTTGACTTATTTAGTATTAAACTAATAACAATACTACAAATTTATTACATTTATTGAGTATTATGTAACGTGATGGAAACGTTTCAAACAGGTAAAGCCAATCCAAACCCTGGCTCCATAACATGAAGGCCTCGTTTTAAATTGTGCTGAAAAGCTCAAATCCGCTAAATGTGCACCAGCCACTACTACAATGGGTATAACTACAGTGTGCCACAAATTCATCTCTAGCTTTGCTGAGTCGTTTCCTGAATTAACATGCTAATGAATAAATGAGAATTAATGAATAGATTTGAGGATCAGTTAAGTAAAGTTGGTTGGCTCAGTTAATTTTCCTTAACTGATAGCATCGCTACTGCAAAACGTACAATTACATGAAACAGCTCTATATTGCGAAGGCCTTTGAACTTTTGAATAAGCAAACCACAGTGTAATTTTGACAAAATCAAATTTAAAGAACAGCTCAACATTGGAGGCACAACGCGACGCACAGGAAAACGTTACGTTACCTTCAAGACGGAAAGTAATGTACTTGTCACTACTCAGAGTGTATACTTAACAATTTGGGACAATTTGTTGTCCAATAATAGTATATAGGTCATTGACTGCTCTAGTCTGTAGTCGTGACCCCGTACATATTACTTATAGCTGGCAAAAATCACATAAACCACAATAATAAAATAAACCATAAAGGTAAAGCAACCATTTAACTTTGGCAGAAATATATCTACAGGGGATCATGATTCATGACGACATCGTCCTCCAAATGGATAACGATAAACTAAAAATCACTTTTAAAAATAAATTCATAACGTCATGATAAAACTGAGGCTGTTATACTAAAAGTATACACTGTGTTGCCCATGACAACAGCACCATCCCATTGTCGGGCCCTTATTATCAGGACAAACTCTACATGGTGACCCAGTACTGTTAACCGGGTGCTGAACACAAAACAAAGAGAAATAAAACCCTAAATGAGACAAATACAAAAATTGACAGAGCTTCGAAGTTGAATGGTTAAACTGTAAGGAATTATAACTGTTAGTCAGTGCGAACCCTCTAAGAAGAAGCAAATTACACTGGTGACAAAGGGCACGGGTTCTAACCACAGGTGGTGGCACGGCACTTGTTATCTCTGTAACAATGTGTTACCTTTACATATTCATTATTCAACTATTAGGCCTATTTACAATTACTACTACTACAGAGGCTTGACACCTGCAATAGTTCGACAAAGAGACATATTAGAATTTCATGAGCTTTCGGAAAAGGGGCTGCCATCTGTTTCGAATGTACCCTGCAGTTGTCATATATCTGGGCAGTGGGTGAGGGTAACTCAAGACCTAGAATCTGGCGGTATTCCTGAGAATCAGTTGGATACGTAATGACTTTCACCGTTAAATCAAGGACTCTCAACGACCTTGTTACTAATGACATCTCCGAGTGAGGAATGGGAACTGGCTGATTAGCCGGCCTGGTCTGGTGACAGTGATTACAGTGCTTGATTAGCTGGCCCTGTGAGCTCTTGTATAAACGGTAAACGGTAAACGCTTCAAGTGTAAAGTGTCAAACAAACTTGCACCACATCCCCGCTATTATACCCGCGGCCGTGTACATGTAACGAAGGGCCTCTCAAATCACCTACCATTCTAAATTTTAGGGGGAGCGGCGACATAAAGGCGCTATGGACCATAAAGGCGCTATGGACACAGGAGGGGGGGGGGTACCAACATCATACGTTATGCCACTATTAATGTAATGAAATTACATAAACATTAGGGTGCATGTTTACCCCAGATTATCGAGATTTTTGATTTTATATTCTTAATTAAAACCTTGGTCGAAAACTAAAGTGCGAAATTACAAAATCGTACTGTAGTGAATAGTGCATATTTAGTTTTGTTTCAGTAACCTTTACCAGCACGGAGACAAAACCAAAAGTAATATGTTTTGAATTATAGGTTTATTATATAACGGTGGCCTGGGATAACTGATGGTTTAGTAGAGGACGATCCATCTGTCACGAGGAACTTAATATCCCATGTCATGTGTTAAACCTAAAAATTGGTACTACCCTGGTCCCTGTCTTGAATGGTTATGCAGTAGGAACATGATATTGTAAAGTTTAGAGCAACGATACTTATAGTCCTGTACGTTTGATTGATACTAGAAACAGACCGGTCTAGGGTTTTGGCTGCCGGACCGGAAACGACCGGATATCAATATATTTTCCGGTTTGCCGGATTTTTCCTGGTATGGCCGGAACCGGGTAATAAAAAGAGGAAATTTGAGGCTGTCGGAAATTGCCGGAAAATTGAAATTAATCCTTGATTGTGGGTTTTTATCAATTATAATATTAAAACTAAAAGCCAGGACACAATAAACAAATTAAAGTCCGACCATAAACTGTGTTCATGCCCTATCGGCTATCTCAAATTTCGACCAATGGTTGATATGTTGTGCGACCAGTGCAGAGGTCACTGATTGATATATTGTATGAGCAGAGCTAGAAGGAGAAACGAGTTGGAATAAAATCAAAACGCACATTTAAAGAATTCACAACATCTTGCGTAGCACAAATGTAGAAGTAAATCCCAAAATTCAGCTCTCACAAGTTCGTGGCGTCGATATATAACCGAGGATAATGTCCATAGTTTTTTAATAGCATAATGGCCTTTGGTTTCAATCCTTGGTATAAGGGGATAGGAGTTAGTAACGGGTTTGCTTGCCACAATAGAGAAGGAACCCTTTGCTTGCAATGCTCATGAATAAAGCATTATTTTGTCATTGGTCTTGGACTTTGTAGGGGAACCGGACACGAGTGACGAGGGCGGAGGACACAAAAGCGGTATTTTTCTAAAAGGGTGGACACGAGGGCGAGTCACATGAATCACTTTAACATGAACAAAGGGGTTTTTTGATGTCCTCAACAGTCAGGTGGAGGTAAAGCTTAGCTCGAAGATTTGGATCTACTCACGTGTAAATTTGAAACAAAAATAGTGACGTGACAAATAATCACCCATACTTAAGTCTCCTCTCAAATTGAAAGATTTTCCTTAAATATCTCAGCAGCAGATTTTGTGGTTTGGTAACGTGCTTATACCAATCAAACTCTGCCTAGATGTTCATGTGACAAACTTGGTTTTTAGAATATTGCTATCGCTGACGCTACAGTTACCCGGGTGTCCTTTACCCTAGATAGATAAATGATGAGTGGTTTTCATTATTAATGCTGCAATTTTTGTATAGTTATTCAAGAATTTGATTAAATTCTCCAGCGCATTATTTTGCACAGTTGAACCCGAATAAACCAACAACAACTGCAAAAACTTGATATTTTCAAACCACAAATTTTGACACCATGAATGTAATCCAGCTGCAGCAGGAATATAATTAGCAGAAGAAAAAAAAGCTTTATAAAGCATCAGCAGTATGTACGGGGTCAAGACTAGGGCAGTCAATGACCTATGATTGAAGCTTCTACACAAAAGATTGGGATATCAAATTGTCCATCGCAATTAATACGTTCGGTGCTTTATGACTTATCGATGGTGTATCTAATCAAATGTTGGAAAATCTAAAAGCTCATATTGAACCGAATAATCAAGCAGTGGATGAATAGATGCTATCATGGAATTGGATATGCTGAGTTTGTTAACTAATATGCAAAAATAAAATAATCCAAAGCTTACTGGTACCTTGGTTACTTTGCTGGAAAACCCTGGCTCAATCTTTAATTGTTAGAAAATTGAATGAGGTGACCGTACTTTAATAGTGGACATATTACAAAAGCAGGTTATACCTTAGTTCCCAAAAATTTGTGTGCCATTATATTGAGCACAATTTATTTGAGCCCGAAAAATTTGGGCAGAAAATTTGAACTCATTTGGGCGACCGAAAATTTGGGCACAAATTCTTCGAAAAATGAACGATTTTCCACTAAAATTTCAGTTAGATATTTGCCTTAGTTCATTATTATTCCTTATTCCAGTCATTTTGCTTTCAATTTTAAGTATGTAGATTGTAGGTGGTAGTCTAAGTTGT